TCTCTCTCTGTGTGAATTACATCTTCACTTACGAGGAAAATTCGGCTCAAAGAGATCCCTACCAGTACAAATTCACACTGGCAAGGGAGGATATTATTATTAATATTATTATTATTTATATCTTAGTTACATGGAATTAGAAACGTTTCACAGATTTCCAACTAAGGGGACAATTAACGTACGAACCTTTGAGAATCGATTGTCCCAGTTTCAGACATTCTTACGATAACTTTTTAAATGGTATTGTAGTGGATTTCTCCCCTGCAAACGCTGTTTGTCGCTGAGTAGCCGACCCCGCGAATTCCAGAGTGTGTGCCTCGTGGTCTGGGTCAACCAGCGCCGCCATACATCACGGAGGTCAACTACTAAGCCACGCCTACCCCCCCGCTATTTAAGACCTGACTTGGACTCAAGATAAATCCAGCCAAGTCGAAAGCGATGGCCATCTGCACAGGCACACCAGACAAGACGCTCTCCATACAAAACACGCCGGTAGTCTGGACCAACACCCACCAGTGTCTTGGAATCTGGTTTGACCAGAAACTCACCTTCAAGCCGCAACTCGAGTATCTCAGGCACAGGACGAAGAGCAGACACAATATAATGAGGTCGCTCACCAGCACAACCGCAGGAGCAAACCTTCATGTGCTCAAAGCCTACTACACGGCCGCCATCAGATCGCTGGTAGATTACAGTGCTCCAGCACTCATTGGACTGAGAGAAGACCAAATAGCCAAGCTAGAAGTAATCCAAAATAATGCTCTCAGGACCATGCTCGGAGCACCCATGTGGACCAGAATTTGCAATTTGCAAATGGAAACCGAACTACCACCCCTGGCAGTACGAGTCAAGCAGGTGACAGCCGGTCTCCTCGCCAAAATCTGTAGATAAGATAAGCCCACAGTTGCCAAAATTCGAATCAGGGCCTCCCTCCACCTCGACCACAGAGTGCGAGGGGCCACCTGGTCGCACGAGGCAAGCGAGGTCATCCGACACCTGCAAGCAGAAACACTCGTCAAGAACAACCAAGACACACGAGACAATGGTTACGTTGTTCCTCCACCATGGAGCCCTCCACCAGCCACATTCAAAATTACCGACCTAGGCGATAGTAAAGCCAACCTCCAGAAGGAGGACCTCAAAAAAATAACTCTCGAAGCCATAGCCACCGAGACACCGGCTGATGCAGCATCATACTTCACAGACGGCTCGGTGGACCCAAAACATCATAGATCCGGAGCGGCCTTCTACACCCAAGGTCAGACCCTCCGATGGAGACTTTCCAATGACTGCTCCACCCTACAAACAGAGCTGGTAGCAATCTCAAAGGCCCTACAACACGCTGCAACACAACACAACAAGTCCATCATAATTCACACGGACTCGAAATCGGCCATGCAGGCGCTGCAACACAGTCAACCAAGAGACAACGTCCACATCATTACTTCGATCCTCGCACAGCTACAGGAACTCCAAAGCCAAAACCGCCCAGTCGTCTTACACTGGATTCCCAGTCATGTAGGGATCGGAGGAAACGACGTGGCAGACGAAGCAGCCAAGGCAGCCACACGTTCTAGTAGCGTACACATCCAAGTTCCAGCAAGCGTGCAACAGATCAAGAATCACCTCAGAAAGACTAGCAAGCTCCACATCAAAAAGAGCTTCCTTCACGCATTCAACGCTGGTTCCCAATCAGCCAAATGGTACCTGGCGGCCACAAAAGGGGAACCACCTTTCGCTGACAAGAAAACTCCAAGACAAACCCAAGTCAGCCTTCATCGACTACGACTAGGGTACAAGTGCTCCTGGCAGATGATCGGAAATGACGTCATGGAATGCACCTACTGTCAGGAGCCAGCAGCCAACCCACTTGAACACTATCTCCTCGACTGCGAAGTCACACAAAGCCTCCGAAACAGAACTCAAATCTCACAAGAAACACACGCAACACCAGCGGCCACTCTAACCCGAAAGGCCCAAACAGACCACATTCACCACCTACTCCGGGTCATCACACGATACCCACCACCCAGATAGCTTAGAAAGTATCCTCTCCCAGCAAGTGCGGACCCCAGTTCGGGGGGCGCGCCACTCCGAAACTGACCACGTCCAAGAGTGGGGGTTGGTGGTAAGCGTCCACTGATCGGGGGTCCGCTCACACTTGCAACCTGCAGTATCCTTCCAATCTGCAGGTGGGACCACCTCCAATCCCAATCCGGTCTGGCTGCTCTTGGAGCTCCAGCCGGAACCACCAAACGGGCCGCCTATAGGCAAAGGCCCGTGTCGGACTACGGTCCGACAATCTCAACAACAACAACAACGGTGACAATTCTCTTCTTCAAGCTACAGCTGCAGCAAGCTACACCTCCTCCTCCGCCGCTGCCTGGCGGCCCTCGCTCCCGCCGGCGAGCATGGCGACCCACAAGCTGTCCTCCTCTGAGCATCCTCACCAACCAACTCTCTCTACATCACGCTTGTAACCACGCTGCCACTTCCCAGCACCAAGCTGCATTGTACATCCAATACAACATGTATACAGAGAGCACATTGTGAGTTTCCTTCTCCATCCCATCCTGAGTGTGAACCAATCATCACATACCCCACAGTATCTAGTAATTTAGAACCACAAGAAGGCGTCCAAAATGGCGTTGAAATGACAGGAAAATAAGAGAAAACGAAATATCATCAACAGTAACCATTCTATCTGCAATAATTATCACGGAGGAAAAGGTGCAGATATATTCTGAAGCCAGTACAGTACATGTCCAGTACTTGCCAACAGTACGAAAGAGAGACGTGACAAAGACAAGCTGACAAGTGGCGAATAAGATAAAGTATAGAACACTCTACTATCCCCAAGTTGTTGAATCAAGAACAGTACTGGGTTTAGAAATAACCCTTGGCAAAATTATCAAGAACAACGGAGGGATCCTACACAAGCCAATGGCCTCCTTCCCTCGGTGTGGCCACCTCTAGTGGGTGGCCAGTAGGTAAATAAGGTAATGTAAGGTAAATATTGAAGAGAGTTATTGCATGATAATTCTATAAATGTTACCGCTATCACTGTGACGCCATTTGTTAGTCAACACAGAAGATGGATGAAGTAAGAGAGGAGAAACTCAGTAAATTCGATTTAGCTTCGTGTGTCAACAGTGATACCACATAAATCATAACACTGAAGTCCCACTGTATAATTAGAACGTAACCTACGGTCCTCTTCAGCAGTGTAACAAGAACGATTACAGGTGGAGGTCTTATAACGACGTCAAATGACAGTAAGTGACGTGTTTAAGCGACTGACTGCGGCGAATGTTTGGTCTTGAGCTATCAGTTAAGGTCTTATGAGCAGCCACCGACGTGATTAAGTCAGGGGACAGTCGTTTAGAGATGTAGAATTTAGAATCTTTTCATTCAAAGCAAACTACCATTTTTCTTCCCAAACTACAGTTGAATTTGTATATTATGGATGAATAATTCCAGTTAATAGTATGATCCAACTCATTAACATGTTAAATTCAGCTGAATTATATCACACACACACACACACACACACACACACACACACACACACAAGCAGTGACCTTGACCTTTGACCTCCACAATATACCATCACTGGTGGTTATCACGATAAATATTTGTACCAAGTTTATACCAAAGGTCTGTCCGTTCTTGAGGTATAATGCATACAAGCATGTTGTGGATAAACTGATAAAGATGTGGTCGGGGCTCCACTATTCACTATACTCCGTGACCTACTGTGTCTTACCGGCCACAGAGAAGAGAAAAAAAAACAACGCCCCATGAACCAACGAGAGAGAAGAACCACCTGAGGATGGGTGACCACAGCCAACCAGACTTCGCAAGCAACAAGTGTTTCTTTGTACTGCATCTTTCTTCCTGGTACTGACGACCCAGCAATCAAGGAGTTACTTAAACCCACAAAAAAAAACATTTATCAGTGCGACGTATTACTTATTCCACTTACTTACTTACTGCACTAACTTGATGAAGATGTTGTGTTGCCGTGGTTTACAATGGAGTTTACATCATTAGTAAACAGTTTGATGATGATATTATACGTTGATACATAAGGAAAAATATAACTATTGGAATCTAGTGGAAATTATATGGATGATATTTGTTGGCGCTAGATGTATATGTTATTTTATTCTCATCTATCAAAGAATCCGTGGACGTATGACATCCTCGTTTAGGGTATCTTGTTATCGGCTGTAGGTACTGTACGGTTAATTTAGGGTGATCCTTCTGTCTCCGTTTTGAGATACTACAAAATGACTCCATCGTTTGATCACTGGAGTAATAATAAGTTGATCACAAAGTCTAAGGGTTCCCAGGTGGAATTATCGAGCACTTTCCAGGTCTTGTTACCGCATTCACAAGATTCCCGGGAAAACACACACACACACACGCTCACACAGATACACACGCACAGATACACACACACACACACACACAGATACACGCGCACAGATACACACGCACACATAGATACACACGCACAGATATACACACACACACACACACACACACATGAACAGACGGAGGACGCTTCACTACCAACAGAAGTAGTGTCCACAGTTTAATGGGAAGACGCGTATGGAGGCTTAGGTAAAATCAACACCCACTACGCCCTCCTACCCCCCCCCCCTTAGGTATAACCACAGTCAGGGTTCCGTGTTGCAGCTCCACCAAGCTACTGTTTACACGTGGGGATGAAAGGTTAGCGCCACAGTTTAGGTTACAAGAGGGAGGAGAGCGTGCGGTTGACTCACATGCCTCAAAATAATTACGCTGTGGGAAGCGTTTCCGTTCTAGCGTGATTACTCCCAGCCGGTATCAGTAAGTTGTTGGTCTACCAACTAACACAAGGTTCCAATTTACTAACAAATATCGTTATTATAATTATTTTCTTAAAGGTTTCTTATACTTCGTATTAATAAACTGTAGAGGTATCAGTTATTATAAGGTAGTGTGTGAGTGCATATCGACAGAGCCTTTGTAAGTGTGGATAAGAACAGTGGACGCAGGGAGGGCCAGGCAGGATACAGTGCCAGTGCCGCAAGGGAGCGTCGCCACTCTGGCAGTCTAGTGACCAAGGCTGGGCAGGCGAGGCTACACCATCAAGTCACTACAGCCTCTTCTGCGTCAGTACTCCTTCGCTGTGAGTTGCTGTGGCTTTGTGAGTGTACTCGTACCCCGGGTTGACCATGGGGCACAGCCCAAACTGTGGTAGTGACCACAGACTACCCAGGCGAGACCTATACCTCCACGTCGGTAGTCAGTGCCAGTGAGGAACTGCGTTTGCGGCTGTGCTGTGAAGTGCTGAGACTGTGGTGTACTGTGGTTGTGCTGCACTGTAATTGTGCTGTATTGTGTTTGTGCTGTAGTGTGACTGTCAGGTCCAATCTTTGCTATTCACATACACGTAACTTTACACCCTGGCCATTACCAAGGTTATAAGACGTTCTTGAGTTTTGTTGTAGGGATGAAGACCGTTGTCTTGTATTAATGATAATAATAATAATAATAATAATAATAATAATAATAATAATAATAATAATAATAATAATAATAATAATAATAACACGAACTATTAACACTATTTCTGATAAGACTACAAGTCCTGCACTACAAATACTCCTCATAATAATAACAAAAAAGGAACTGACCGTCCTTCCCTGTGGGTGGGGGGGGGGGGGGGGGGGGGGGGGGAATTATCAGGGTAATGGACGAGACGACTGGAGAAGTACTGAACAGACAGACATATCATCAATGACATCCACGCGAGGCCGTCTTAGACTTTCGCCTTGTGGCATAATGACCATGTTACCAGAATTGATACAATGTTTTTCGTGTGAGGTGGAAGGGCACTGGGGACACGCGCACGCACTCACTTATATACATATCTCTCTCATTCGAACCTGCATAGAAAGGAAGACCGATATTAACTAGCACACAGAGAACAGAGAATTTAAAAGAGAGAGAGAGAGAGAGAGAGAGAGAGAGAGAGAGAGAGAGAGGGGGGGGTAGCCTGTTGTAGGGTAATCCACACAGACAGGAAATGGTTATCAATAGTTTTTTTATGATAACGTCAAAGGAATACTAAAGCGAGGACGTGTTTCCCATTGTGAAGTGAGTTCCTGTGTGTTGAAGTGAGTCCCTGTGTGTTGAAGTGAGTCCCTGTACGCTGAAGTGAGTCCCTGTACGTTGAAGTGAGTCCCTGTACGTTGAAGTGAGCCCCTGTACGTTGAAGTGAGCCCTTGTACGTTGAAGTGAGTTCTGTGTGTTGAAGTGAGTCCCTGTACGTTGAAGTGAGCCCCTTTAGATTGAATTGAACATATCACATTACAATACTTTTGAACATGTAAGGTAATGGTGAACTAAGTACGTTTATTGAACACATAATATTAAGATTCATACAGTATTTTTTTTTAACACGCAGCAATATAGTGAACAAATAACAATACTCTTGATAGGAAAAAAAAGTCGTGTAATTTAAAAACAGATAAGAAATATTTTGTTATGTAGGACTGCAGAAGGAGGAGGTGAGTGATGTCCTTCATGCTACTCTCACGTGAGATGTTTTCAAGGGGTCGAGAGGATGAAGGAGGTGTTGAAATAGAAATCCTTAAGCGAACGAAAGCTTTGAGGGATGTTTTTTTTATGCGGTTGAGATGTGCTTAAGAGGGGAATCTGGACAAATAGCCCCCCCCCCCCACCCAGTCCTGATTGGCCCCAATACCTAAGTGGACCTGTATTGACCATTAGGATAGGGGTTCAATTCATAATGGTTGATTAATGGGTTCTAGATCTAATGGGGCTATTAATCCTAATGGAACTGAAATCAATGATTGGGTTAGACTGGGTCACTTGAAGACTAGAGCCCAATTTAATCTACAATGATTAGGTGATGGAACGAACTAGAGAGGTAGAGAGGGAACACACACACACACACACACACACACACATCACACCTCGTAGCTATCAACGCTTTACTCATCTCCCGTTACTGATTAGATAAGGATAATATAATTTAGGTTTGATAAAAATAGAATAGTGTTTACATTTTTCTTGTCACATGTTTACAGGGTCTTCTTCACTTATCGCTGGATGTCGACCGGAAGTGTGTTGATTGCGCAAGTGACCTGGATAGAGAGAGAGAGAGAGAGGGAAAGAGAGAGAGATAGCGGTCAGAGGGTGAGAGACGACTGGAGAAGCATTGGGTAGGTTCAGAAAAACAACTACTCAAAATATAATCCTCATGAAATTCAGTGAAAGTCAGGTGGATAATTTTACGACCTGTCGGCACAAAGGGTTAAGAATTACGTGTTGTGGTAATCATGAAATCCAACTGTAATTTGTTTATTGTGGTACTGGTGTGTTCGGCTGCTTCTCTGCTTCCCTTAGTTGTAACAGATGATGGTGATAATAACCTTTCTACTGTGGTAACTAATGATGGTGATAATAATCTTTCCACTGCGGTAACTGATGATGGTGATAATAACCTTTCCACTGTGGTAACTGATGATGGTGATAATAACCTTTCTACTGTGGTAACTAATGATGGTGATAATAACCTTTCCACTGTGGTAACTGATGATGGTGATAATAACCTTTCCACTGTGGTAACTGATGGTGAGATGATCGCTGTCACAGATGATGATGAGGGGATGGAAATGAAATTATCACCATCTACTGAAGAGGTCAACTTTAGTGATGATGAAAACTTGGACGCGTTACCATCGTCGGGAGAACCTTTCTGGAATTTCGCAGTAGATATGAACCCTCAGGGGGAAGATTCTTCTGCCACTGTAAGCAACACCAACCAGAACTCTGACAAGTACCTTAGTAACCCCATGACACTCAAATCATCAACACCTACACCATCTCCTCCACAGACACTTACAACATCTCAATCACCCACATTGAAAACATCGTCAGCAACATCGACACAGACGCCCGACCTGTCCACCATCTTCAAGGAGGGGGCCTTGTACTACGACATCACGCAAGCGAAGACGACGGAGCTGGTTATCGGTAGTAACGACGAAGGGGTGACGGGACTCACTGCGACGAAGGGTGGACACTGCCTCGTCCAGACCCTCGTCGTAAACAAGGGTTACCACCTAGACCAAGACATCATCCGTACCTGCAGACTGAAGAAGCTCGTATTGAAAGGTATGTATAGTATGAAAGGGTTGCATGTGTAGTGGACTTCACCCCAGTTCTAATAGGCCCATGTGTTAATGGTCCCCAATTCTAATGGGCACCGTTCTTAGTAGACCCAAACCCTAATCGATTCCGGTCCTAATGCGCCTCACCCTTAACCTAAATCTTAAGATTGGGTCCTACTGGACCTTGAGAGAGATATATAGACCTTAATTATTTAATAATAGCATATTAAAAGATGACACATAACTAATAAAGTTATCATGACACAAAAACATAACTTGACATTAGAACTTGACTAATTATAGTAGAATATAAAAAAGAAAGAACGTATATCTTTAATCAATTAGTTTTTACATAATAAAACAGGAGATGTCATTAAACTTAATTAATAAGTTATAGAAGGAATGCCCATGCAGCTATCGCGGCCCTACAATGTGATATCTTAGGACCATCAATGATTTAAGTTTGAAGAAGAGCAACTTAAATCATTGGAGGGAACCAATGTATTATGTGATGTGCTACCTGGCATAAAATCAGGTACATGTTAATCAAATGAAATGAAATGGTGACCTGATGTAGAGAAAGGTAAATGGTATCTGAGAATGATAAATTGGATAGTTAGCGAGAGTATGTTTAAGCGATGAATGGTAAGAGAGTAAGCGAGAACTGTGAATTATATTGTGAATGGGGGAGAAAGAAAACCTGCGAAATTAATAGAACGAGGAGTAGCAGTGTGGAAAGTGGTGGGGGATAATGGCGAGATGAGTACATATCAGCTGATCATGTAAACTTAAACTAATAGTGACACACACACACACACACCCACACACACACACACACACACACACACACACACACACACACCTCCCAGGTTTGCATATTCTACATAAAAAATAACCTCATGTTTGTTTACCTACATGACCTCCATCTCACCTACAAGAATAACCACTTGTTTGTTTGTCTACCTGACCTCCAGCTCCGTTGTTTACATTCCTCGAGTGGCCGGAGTCTCGATTGTTTACGTGTTTGGTGTATCAGCTGATCTGTATATAGTTTACCTCGTAGTGTTTCCAGGGTCGTACCTGAACACCGAAGAGGGAAAAGGAAAGGAAGGAAGGAAGAGAAGGAGGGGAAACGGAAAGGAAGGGAGGGAGGGAAGGAAGGGAAACAGAAGGGAAGAAAGAGAAGGAAGGGAAACAGAAGGGAAGGAAGAGAAGGAGGGGAAACAGAAAGGAAGGGAGTGGAATGAATAGGAAGGGAAACGGAAAGGAAAAGAAGGAATGGAAACGGAAGACAAGGAAGACAAGGAAGGAATCGGATAGAAAGGAAGAGAAGGAATGAATCGGATAGAAAGGAAGAGAAGGAAGGAAACGGATAGGAAAGGAAGGAAGGGAAGACGAAAGTGGAGGGGGAAAAGGAAAAGAAAAAGCATGGGTCGTTTGGCGTATCTTCCCGATGGATGGATGGATGGATGGATGGCTGTATGGATGGATGGATGGATGGATGGATGGATGGCTGTATGGATGGATGGATGGATGGATGGATGGATGGATGGATATACTACTAGATAAAGAAAGACAGACAGATAGATAGATAGAGAAGAGAGGAGTGAAAGGGAAAGGTGAAAGAAAGATAAAAAGAGATATCCAGGTGAAAAAAAAAGTTAAAAAAATAAACACAAGATAAAAACTCACAACATTGATGGCAGGAAAATCGTGGTTATGCACCATGGACCTGAGTTGGCTGATGCTGTTTGGTAAGGAGATGGAGCTGGATTATAGCAAGGCGATATGTGAGGACGTATGGTGTGAGATTGAAGGAGATCTGTACAATAACTACAAGTTGTGTAAATTTGAAGAGGGACTCCATTTGGTGAAGCAATATATAGTAAGTACCAATGGTGTTTGTTTATTAGTCTGTCTATATGTTTATCTGTTTGGTATAGTGACCTGTTCAAATGGGTTATTTTGTTTCATTCCATTCAATGGCCTGCCTTCATTCACCTGCCTTCACATCATTCCCTGCCTTCATCTCTCCTCTGCCTTCATCTCTTTCTCCCTGCCTTCATCTCTCTCCCCTGCCTTCATCTCCTCTCCCTGCCTTCATCTCTCTCCCTGCCTTCATCTCTTCTCTCCCCTGCCTTCATCTCTCTCCCTGCCTTCATCTCTTCATCTCTCTCCCTGCCTTCATCTCTCTCTTCCCCTGCCTTCATCTTCTCTCTCCCTGCCTTCATCTCTCTCTCCCCTGCCTTCATCTCCCCCTGCCTTCATCTCTCTCCCCTGCCTTCATCTCTTCTCTCCCCTGCCTTCATCTCTCTCCTGCCTTCATCTCTCTCCCCCCTGCCTTCATCTCTTCTCTCCCCTGCCTTCATCTCTTCTCTCCCCTGCCTTCATCTCTTCTCTCCCCTGCCTCCCCTCCTTTACCTACCTCACTACCCTGTACCAATTTCCCCTTCCCTTTCCACGTTTCCTCCCCTCCCTTTCCTATCTCCCATCCACGGTCTTTCTCTCCCTCTCCCCTGCCCCTCCTCCCTCCCAAAGGCCTAATAAGCGCTTTGGTCCAATTGGCTCCTGTTCTACAAGATACCCTGTTATAACGAGCCCCCAGTTGTAACAGATGGCGCCGTTCAAATGGGTCTAATTTTTAATAAGTCCTAATTGCAATAATCGCTCTGTTCTAATTTGCTCAATCCTCAATGGGTCCCAGTTCAACTAATTTACCTGCTTTAATTAAATTCAAGACTAATGGGACCAAATCCAAGAGAAATGAATAAATTCACGTTAAGTTTATTACATCAATGAATAAATTCACGTTAAGTTTATTACATCAATGAATAAATTCACGTTAAGTTTATTACATCAATGAATAAATTCACGTTAAGTTTATTACATCAATGAATAAACTCATACTAATCTATTTCATCAACATTGCAGGGTATGGAGGAATACCTGCAGGTGTGTAGTCAGAGCTTGTGGTTCAAAAAAGGAGGAGAGATTACCAAGAAGGTCGTGAAGTGTAACGATGCCAACCTGACAGACACCACTTTAGTCGAGCTGCCCAAGAACATCACCAGTCTTTCCTTAGAGAATAACAAGGTAGCGTGTGACTTGGTATCTACCTAGGTTGGGTTCGGTTAGATTCCAGTAAGGTCATGTTAGGTTAAACTATAGGTTAGGTTAGGTTTAGTTCGGTTCTGTTTAGTTTTTTTCTGTTTAGTTTGGTTAAGTTAGATTTAGTTAGGTTTAGGTAGTTAGGCGAAGTTATGTTTTGGTAATATAGGTTAAGTTAAGTTAGCTCAGGTTAAATTAAGATAAGTTAATTTAGGTTGGATTAGGTTAGGTATCGTACAGGGACACCTCAAACGACACACAGAACACCCTAAGAAGTCACATCTGGGTGCCGGGATTCGAACCCGGACAACCAAATTCAGTGAGGCAGCTATTAACTAGACGACCTGTGGTGTAATGGTCAGCATGTTCGCCTCGCAAGGGAGCGTATCCAAGGGTTCGATACCTGGGCAGAGTGAAACTATGGGCAAGTTTCTTTACGCCATTTGCCTCTGTCTACCCAGCAATAATTGGGAACCTGGATGTTAATCGATTTGCAGATCGTGTTCCGGGATAATGGTTCGCCAGTGCAGTTGTCGAGTTGTCCGGTCTTCTCGGACTATTCCTTGACACTGGGTCATGAAACTCGTTAACTCGGGGTGTGGTTGTTGTGTTTTTGCTTCAGCTTCTACACTTTAACAAATTCACGCCTAGGTGGCCCTTGGGCCGGGCCTGCCAAATCTTAGCTACTCACTTATAGCTCAAGGTCGCACGCCCATCACTAAGGGCCTGATGGGTTAGGGCAGCCCGCCCACACAAGGGTCCCAGAAAACTTTTAATCAAAATCCTGACACGACGGTGTTGTGAGGTGAAAATTGTTGACACTGATTTACCTGTGTACATTACAGGTTCTGATAAACCCCAAAGACATCTTCGACATCTTGACCTCCAGTACCAGTATATGATAACTCCGTGGTAGAGTCTGTTGAAGGCAAGGTGGTGCGAAGAAGGAACGCTGTCGTGTGGGAACCAACCTATTGACAGAGAGACAGAAAAACACACAAAGCTGTACCATTTACATTGTTTTTGTTCCATTATGAACGTGTAGTGTGTGTGGCGACCGAGTGGTTACGCAGCTCGTCTCTTGTCCCAATAGTCGTTGGTTCGGGATAGTACTTAACTTTACATATGGAGAAGTGAAGGTGGTTGAGTGCAGGCCCAGGGATTGGTCAACTAGGGTGTGTTAAAGCTCTCTTGAAAGACCATCCCTCATTCCATCACTCTGGATTTGGGGAAGGGGGGGGTTGTTCTCTGGCCATCACCTTTACCATTAAATAATAAAATTCTGTATATATTTTTTTTTATCAGAGCGCTTATATTATTATTATCCTTGTTGTACTTATGTTAAAGTAAAAGTAAAAGTAAAATCTTCAAAGAATATATATAATTTGCTTTCTGTGTGGCAAAATTTAGAAGAAATGTAGTTTTGAGTTTCTGTCAGGTTAGTGAATTCAAAGTATTGTAACTTTTTTATAAACAAATCTAGAATTAAGCTTCCACTTTAGAGAATGTTTAAATTTTGCAACGTAACCTAACGGAACCTAAAGTAACGCAATTAACCTATCTATAGGTTAACCAAGACCTTTCTTTATCACCTTAAAAAAAGAAACTCTTTTAAAATCAGTCTGCTGTATCTTAGACCTAACCTCACAGAGTCTTAATTTGTCCTCAGCTGAGGTTGATAGACAAGTTACTTGACCTCCTGGAGGACCAGAACAATCTCAACGTTCTCTACCTCTCGGGGAATGACTTCGACAGCATCCCTTACCTGGAGGATAGCAGGTTTCCCATGCTCCAACAGATCTTCCTTCAGAATAACAAAATAGAAGAGGTAAGAGGTATGTGTAGGTCTTCCCTTACGACACACACACACACACACACAATACCTCTGGGTACATAATGTTGCACACAAGAGCATCTATACTTAATGATGACAGTAGTTAATTAACCGAACAAGTATTACTTTCTAACCTGTAACTTTGACTCTGACTCATATAATATTTATGCTCTGACACCAGTCATGCTGACAACATGGCTCTTGTGACATCTGTAACACCTGTGATATTCACACCTCAGAAATCTATACAACAGCTCTTGCCTACAGCTGAACATAGACGCCTTCACGATTTTGCTGAAAAGGAAGAAAGTCGCCCTCGAGCTGAAGGGAAACCCCCTGCGCTGTGGCTGCAAAATGCATCAGTTATTCGTGAGTGAAGGGATTTGAGTTTTTTTTCGCAGTAATAGACAACGCAGGATAGAGATAAGAATTGCTGTTTAATTTGACAGAGTTCACTGTGTATGAAGCCTATAATAACACAGTGCAAAATATATTAAGTTCATCCCGGAGTTAATATTCTAAGGGGGGAGGAGGAGGAAGGGGATGGATGAGTTCCCCTTCCGCCTATAACGAGATAATTAGTATATATATATATATATATATATATATATATATATATATATATATATATATATATATATATATATATATATATATATATATATATATATATATATATATATATACCTGTATATATATATATATAGTCAAATATCGTTCCCTTTAAGTCTCAACGTATAAGCCTCTAATTTTATCACCTTAACAGGACATCTTCCTATCCTTCTATGCACCTGAGACCTTCCCGGACCTAAAGGATACAGTTTGCATAAATGAAACCAATAACGTAAGTATTATTAAACAGTCCTAACATATTCCAAAATGGGACTCGAAACCATTAGGACTAAATCCTGCTTGACCAAGTCATCCACGAGCTTAGTTTGATACACACTTACATACATACTGACGTGGTAGCTAACATCAATGAGTCTGCTCCTGTGTCATATATCACACATGGGAGGGATAACTTATCCTACCCTTGTGGACCAAGCTCGGTTTTGACTTTAAGTGGATGGGGATATGATTATCTGTCTTCATTTACAGAATTAAATTCTATTAAATAATTCTCTCTTCCGGAACTAAGTATTGTAATCTCACAATCCCTTTAAGAAAATAATACCTATCAGAAACTTGGCATTAATTTCCCTTCAAGGATTCTCTCATCCCTAACTATGCATATGACAAACCTCATCAAAAATTCCCAACTCATTAAGTAAGTAATAAATTCTCTCTTCTTTTAACACGGCATTAAATTCCATTCAATAAAACCCTTTTTGAACTCGCCATTAAATCTCATTTAAAAAAATGTCTTCCTCCTGCAGGAGAAAATACCATTGAAGTACCTGAAGTACTTTTCTGATGAGAAGTGTTTCCAGGGGCCAAAATTCACCTTCGATTATTGGTCCTTCATCATCACTGTGCTTAGCATCCTCAACTTCATCATGATTGTTTTCATCGTAGACCTCAGTCTCATCCTCTGTAACTTCAGGGGGATTAAGGGCTCTCAGAGACCGAAACTAGATTACGTAGTGTGTTGCGGCAAAATGATGCTACACTATTTGAAGGTTCCATTCCTCCTCCTCTGCCACAACGGAGAGCAGCAGGAGAAGGAGGTGAAGGACGAGGACATGAGGGAAATGGAGGCCGCCGCCTTCTGGAACCACAATCGAAGTCTTATGGCCAGGAGAAGAACCCCGAGGCCAGACACGGACTAAACAAGAAAGGGAGAGAGAGAAGTTAAAAAAAACATAAGAAAGAGAATCTCATCGTCAATTATCACACACCCAACCTTAGACACACACACCGTCCTGACGGGAGAATAAGTCACCGGTCTACTCTCCACCATCTACATGTTACACACTATCTGCCAGGCGACCGTCAAGTGTATGTGCCAAATATAATTTATACCTGATAAGAAGAACTAATAAAAGCTACAGTGATCATTACAGTAATTGTATTGTACCTGTATCTGTACTTACAGTGTACACCTGTACATATATTCCTGTATCTGAGCCTGTATTTTTACCTGTATACGTACCTGTATCTGTGATTGTATTAGTGCTTGTAAATGTACCTGTACGATACCTGTGAATCTGTACTTGTATCTTTACCTCTACCTGTTGTTTCTGTTGCTTCTGAATAAATTATTTGATTAATTTTGACTTGATAAATGAGTATGTCCTCGATACACCTTGCTCACCTTGTTAACCTCTCACCTTCCGTAAACAGGTAATGACTCCAATTATGACCGTAACACTCACAATTTAGCCTAACCTAACGTAACCTAACCTATCCTATCCTATCCTATCCTATCCTATCCTATCCTATCCTATCTCAACCTAATTTAACTTGATCTTAAAAGTACATGAAATCAAATATTAATCTTGAACGCAAAACATGAGTCCCGTGATAATGATAATTACTTCACTCATTAAGATTAATTACCGTCTCACCTGTTGTAAATCTTCTACCTGTCTAACTTGTCGTAATAATTCACTTCATTTATATCTTGCGAATATTTTTTTTCTCGTTTAGTTAGATATTAAATGTTCAAATATAACTTGTATTTTATTCATCTAATTCTGTTTTCATTGATATTTATTTAGTATATTATTATATTTTGTAATTTATATAATATATATTCCATAAAACTTTTCTTCAAATTTCCGTGTTCATTTTATTGTCATGTGTGTGTGTGTGTGTGTGTGTGTGTGTGTGTGTTTGTTTGTTTGTGTGTGTGTGTGTGTTTTACCCTGGTATATTATATGTATTGTGAAGTGAAAGGATATATAATTTACTATAGTGATCTACCCTTTTGCTATATACAGTAGTCCCTCTGTAATATATCATCGTATATTTATAAAGCATCGGGATGACTTATTGTCAGAGTCTATACAATACATAACGTCTACCCATCCCTCACATGACACTCAAACGTGATGATGTATAGATGTATAGATGTATTGATGTATACTGTAGATGTATAGATGTATAGATGAATGAATAGATGACAACTTTACCTGGTTATACTGAACAAACCTCATTATACAGACATGTACTGAACAAACCTCATTATAAAGGCATATACTGAACAAACCCCATTATACAGACATATACTGAACAAACCTCATTATAAAGACACATATACTGAACAAACCTCATTATACAGACAGATATACTGAACAAACCTCATTATACAGACACATATACTGAACAAACCTCATTATAAAGACTCATATACTGAACAAACCTCATTATACAGACAGATATACTGAACAAACCTCATTATACAGGCAAATATACTGAACAAACACAACACTAGATAAACCTGACCCAAACACACTAAAACTATATTCATAAACGGCAAAATAATAATTCCTTGCATACCTCTGTGTTGTCTGGGGCTGAGTGTGCTCCTGTAGGTGATAACGAAGAAGGCGACTGTCTGAGGGCCTACTGACCACGATGCAGAGTTAATGACCTCCTACATCAAGGTTGGTCATAATCGTTAAAGTGGCATGCAGGATCGTTAAGACATATAAGGTAACCATTACGATAATTAATTGGTGTGTTACGATGGTATGTTTATCTCTCTACACCAAGTCATAGGGTGATATTAGCATACACTTCACGTATATCAAGATAGGCAGTTGTAAGTAGGTGTTTTAGAAGTGCCTGTCCGGTCCAGTGAACAGAGTAAGAGATGGATTACGTCCCTTGATACTAGTGGTGACGTTTTTGATGGATTGGATAATTTGCTTCATGTTAATGGTGGTATAATTATGTGTGATACCTTAACGCTTTAGTCAATACAGGTGAAACTTATTCATCAAGGCTCAGGTGATTTTTTTCTTATTAAGTGATACATGTGTGTGTGTGTGTGTGTGTGTGTGTGTGTGTGTGTGATGAGCAGCTGTACCGTCAGCCACGTTGTACATACATACACACACCCCGGAAACTACGTCACAAAACCATTGTCATAAACTAACATGATCAGGGAAACACACACACAAAAAACTATATTAGTTTTTACAGTAAATTTCAATATTGTTTTATGAAATTGATTTAGTACCTGGATATATTTCATGTTTTATAATTTAATGAAAGAACACGTCCATAGATAGGGAAGATTATTTAAGTTCTTTGTGTGTATATGTGTGTGTGTGTGTGTGTGTGTGTGTATGTATATATGTGTGTGTGTGTTTACGTCAACTCGCAGGTGTGGTACAGGTGTTGTGTTTGGCGCTGGTAAGGGGGGGATGACTCTGAAACACCTGTGGGCTGTGGTTATCTGGGAGGCTTCTCTTACTCTACCTCCCCTTCTCTCCCCTTCTACCCCAGCTTCTACCCGTATCTCCCCACTTGCAGTTCTCCCCATTTTACCTCCCTTTCCCTCTTCTCCCCCCTCATGTCTACTTATTTCCATGGTGTATCTCTTCTCTTATTCCTCCACTTCCTTTTTTTTCTCTTACCTCCCTATATCCTCTCTTGCTCCCCTCCCACCCCCCTCCTCTAGTTATCTCCCCATTTTATCTCCCCATCTTCTGCTCAAGAAACAGTCAACTCCTCCCTATCATCATTCAAATTTGGTTTTCTTCATCTCCCCCCTTTATCTCCCTTCTCTATTTTTCCTCCCTATATCACCCCTTCTCACTTTTTTGCTCCCTCCCATTCCTTCCCACGTTCCTTCCCTTCCTGTTTCCAACCTCCTTTCTACCCTCCTTCTCCATATCCCCTCCCCCTCCCTTTCCTCCCTCCTTGTATTCATTATTTACTACCAAGCGACAAGTTAAGCCATCATATATACTCGATTACACTAAATTCAACTCTTAATTTATCTGTTGATCCTGTGTATTAATAACAACACTATGAACCCCTAAAGAAAATATCACGTCCCCCTTTTCCATTCCTTTTTATTACCTCCCTTTAATCTCCCTTACTCCTCCCTCCCTTTGTGTCATTATCCCTTTGTGTAGGTGGGAGGTGAGGGGTGTGGCGAGGTGGGGTGGGGTCGAGCAGGTAAGGACAAATAACACCTGCTCACACCTGTACCGCCAACACAACATCGTCGTCCCTGACCCGCCACGCAACTCACCTCCACGTAGTATTCAGCCACGTTCATACAGAAGACGAGGAACCTATAGTAGAGCCCCGCGAGAATTGTGTTCTGTAGAGGAGGAGGCTGTAAAGAAAGGAGGGTAATTTGACCGTCAATAACAGCCTTCAAGTCCTTGCTTAGCTGTGAGTGGCGTTCACATTCAGGTGTCAAGTTCATTCTGCTAGTACGACAGCGTGTGGGGGAGATAAGCTTCCCGACACCTTCGTGGAGCGTGGAGGAGTAGTCACACACACTTGTTCGAACACCGCGACGAGACACTGAGGTGTAAAACACCTCAGTGACGTTTCAGCTGTGAGAGAGCAATCAACATGTTGTCACTCAGGTAAGTCAAAGTGTGTCAGGGCATAAGGGCTTAATTATATTCGTCTTAGTGTCCCTCCATTGTGAACACCTTCATAGGCATTACATAATAATCTTCAAAATATCGAGAAGGAGAGATTATCGCTTGGAACTCCGGGTCAAAATATCAACAGAAAATCAGTGTTATGTAGCCGCATTGATCAGCTTGTGAAAGAAATGTGTTTTGTAGAGAGTAGTGTTAAGGGATAGATCTCAAGCCTTTGTTTACATTGTTTTAAGGTGTTGATTGTTATTTACATGGGATCAAGGGATCTCTCATTTGTTTACTCTCTGTCAGTGTAGATTTAATCTCTATTGACATAAGTGAAAGTGATATAGAACTGTTTACACTGTATCAAAGAATAGAATTTGTTTACAGTGTTTCAGGGGATAAAATTATAGTCTCGGTTTACAGTGCATCGTGGGACAAACTTCTTTTCTACTTAAAATTTGGTGTTATTGACAGAACACAAATTTATTAAGGAAACCTATTTAAACTATTTTCCCAATTCTTTTAGAGGAAATTAAAATCAGTATATTGATGCTGTAGTAAATAAAGACATGACAGGTATGCCTTAAAAGCAGCTATTAGATTTAGTATAAGGCATAAGTCCCTTTCTGTCTCATAAGTATAATGTGTCATTCAACCTCCTACATTATTACAGTATTATTATTATTATTATTATTATTATTATTATTAGTAGTAGTAGTAGTAGTAGTAGTAGTAGTAGTAGTAGGGTTAGTGAAATCCAAGCTCTGTCTGAGATTGCTAACACAGAGCCATATGCGGCCTTTGCTGCATCCACCCATGGAGTCAAGCATCGCTGGAACTACCTGATGCGTACTATCCCCAACTCCGACAACTGCTGCAGATATTGACTATGAGGCTACTGTCATTGAATGCCGCATAGATCTGCGGCTCAACTAATTTAACACAGATAGGATAGCTACTTATGTATTAGGATATTTAATATTAAGGTAATTAAATGGTAGCGAAGGTGTGGCTATTGGGGAAGGCTGGAGGCCACGTAGTAGTAGTAGTAGTAGTAGTATGTAGGTTAAATTTGAAGGGATCATTTATTAATATTTCTACTTAAAGAGAATGAATTTCCTACTATTTTCAAGATAACAGCGAGTGTCTGTGTGGATATTTCTTTCAACTCTTTACCTTAGCACTTTCCTGTTACTTTCTACACGTGTTTTTCATCCTTCTCCATAACTATTTCCTTCTTTGAGGTTTCTCTGCCCCATGATCCACCCTTCACTAGTGCGGGAAACGAGTAACGATAATAAGATAGACAACTGATGGATATATTGTTCATACGAGACCATTGAACCCTCTGAGGTTGATGTTTTTAACTCATCCTCAAGTAGTTAAACCAAAATTCTCAGAGCGTTAAAAAATCATCCTGAAGTAATAAAACTATTTGACCTTTTAATCCAATATCCTCAAACGTTAACTAATTTTTCAGTTAACATATCGTCCCCAAAGGATTGATCCATCATCCTTAAAGGGTTGAACAATTCTCCTTAGAGGATTAATCTATCATACCTCAACAACTAAACTGTCCTTCGTGGATAACAAAACCATTAACGTCAAATGATTAATTCTTAGTAAAGTAAACAAAAAAAGATATATCACTTCATATGAAACTTCGACCTCGACAAGAAAAAAGACAGGAACACTATTGAATCAAAATGTCTTCCTGCAGGACGTCGCTGGTGCTGATGGCGGTGTCGTGGTGGTTATGTGTTTCAGCTGCCAATCTGAGCCAGGTGGAGGACCCCCTGATGGATCACGACTATCTTGACGACATTATGGTGAGTGAGCAGCGTGACTACAAGGAAATGCCACGAACAGGACTCTCATTTGATATTAGTGACTCACATACGTAAATTATAGTTTGTCTCTAGTGTCGCATATGATGTGAAAACTACAATTAAACTCACCCTTCAATAATACAAGAACTAAAGAAACATACTTATTTAACTACAAAAATATCATGAAAATAAATCTTCTTTAGTTATACCTCTATATGTTTTCTTTGAACAAATACGAGTATATAAAAAAAGTTTTATGGGTATCTATTTTTCTATTCACTAATCCATTAATGCTAAATCTAGGGTAATTATATATAGGTATCACACTGGACACATGTCATAACCAAATATAAACTGTATAGTGTTGATGAATGATGAAACTACAGCAAAAGAAATGAGTGACTTCATGTTTATTACTGTCATATGAATGGCAGTCATAAGTACCATGTAATGTTTACCTGCATATACCGTTGCATGAGATAGAGAGAGAGAGAGAGAGAGAGAGAGAGAGATTATTATCCATCTACTTTCATTCTAGGATTACTCGCAAGACAACGTGGACAAGATCAGCGCCAAGTACTCTGCTCAGGTGAACAAAAGGGGCCTGATTGACGACGACGATGAAGACGAAGACGAAGAATACTACGACGAGGAGGAAGACGAAGACGAGGATTACGACGATGATGAGGAAGGAGGTGGATGTGGAGGAGGAGGAGGAGATGATGACGAGGAGGATGACCCCGTGATGGATGTGATTGATGAGTTCTTCTCTAGATCATGAATGACCTGATTAGTTCACCTGTGTCTGTGGATTAATTTTTTTGTTTTTAGGTTAATGTAAGAAATGTTTACTTATATACTCTATTTACAACTATGTTTATGATATATATTCCACAACTTAAATGAAAAATAACGAAAAATAACACTACTGACACCTTGTAAATGATCGGGGTAACTGTGTGTAAATGATAATGAGTCTTAAGGTTATATGTAAAATGAGGAATATATCACTACAATGAGGAATATTTCACATGATAACTGAGAAATATTCATTATTACCTGAATACCACCAAAATATATACACCAACAATGGGTATAAAATGTTCAGTAATTTATCCTTATTGAGAAACATATACAGATAATATTGTTCATTTGTGTATTATTTGAGAAATATATCACAAAATGAATCATACAAGGCATACACTTATAAACCCTATACAACTGAGAAATACTACACAAGGTTATAGAATAATTTCCATTTCCATTCACTTTATCAATTATTCACCTTCATTCTTTATAAGTGTTCTTCGTTAGTACTTATGGAAGCACTTATCATATTTATATCATATGATTGGAAGTACAATACAGGTAAAAAGAAACTGATTATCCATGTTACTTTTATGCAGATCTTACAGGTGCAATAATTCCCAGGTGACGACAACAACCTTTAAATTTGTAATTTATCAGATACATGAATAAAATCTCAACTGAAATCCTACATAAACTTCACCAATTTCATTATGTAAATTTAGAAAAGAGTTACAGCACTGTTTTATCGTCCCTCTTGCCCTCGTCCTGCACCACCCTCATCCTACACCACCCTCATCCTGCACCACCCTCATTCTACACCACCCTCATCCTGCACCACCCTCATCCTGCACCACCCTCATCCTGCACCACCCTCATCCTGCTCCACCCTCACCCTGCACCACCCTCATCCTGCACCACCCTCATCCTGCACCACCCTCATCCTGCACCACCCTGTCTCCATCCATCCCTCTCTTGGTATATACGTTTACATTAATCTACCACACACTCAAATAAGACAGAAATAGAGTTAAGAGAAGCTGCATGCCTTTAGGTTGACTTTACCCACCCTATGAACTCCTCTCCTGATCAGAGTGATAGAAAGTTCCACGTGGTGAGGTATATTTTTGCTCATTTTAGATCACTTTTGTTAATTTCTTCTTCTTGACGTAGTTTATTGGGTTTTTTATGATCAGTTAATCTGTGGCCGATTATCTTAACCATGATTGAGTTTGTGTTGTGTTGTGTTGTGTTGTGTTGTGTTGTGTACGGTGATAAATTTTGTTTTAGATTGTATTTGACTTAGTGTAACCTAACCTAATTCAACTTCTTACTTTAACTTAACCCAATGTAATGTAACCTGCCCTAACCTAACCTAACCTATATTAATCTACGTTACGTAAATATTCCATTAATGTATTTGATGAATTTATTGTAATAAATAAATAATAGAGATAGTGTGTCTTCATTAACAGTCGTAAGTGGTGGTGCCTGGTGGTGGTTAACGTGTGTGTGTGTGTGTGTGTGGGGGTGTTAGTTCTGGGGGGCGTCGCCAGCAAGGGGAGGTGCTGCACCCCGCTCAGGTTCCTTCCGGCTCGGGTGTCTCTAGCTTACAGTTTCATTCACCAGTTAAAGGACATTTGATTTTTTATTTCCTTCAATATTATTTCATGTTTTTTTTTCTTTTTCTTTCTTCGTCTTTTCCTCTTTCCTTCCTCCACCTCCTCTTGTTTTTGTTTACTTCCTTCTCTTTTATCACATTTATCTCATCCCTATATACGATTAACTATTCCCTAGTTTATGCTTGACATGCTATAAAGATGTAAACTGCGGCACCTATTCTCCTTTGGTTCTCTCCTCTTATCATCTTATTCATCCTTCTTAACGATTTCTTCCATCTAAGGACCAAAATCAGATCATTTTTCTACATAATCGCTATCAGTGGATACACTCAATAGCCAACTCAATCATATGATCCAGCTTGCATAAACCTGGGTATATGTAACCTAACTCCTCACATTCCCCCCCACCCCCCCCCTCTCTCCTCCATGTCAGGTCGGGGTATAGGAAGCACAACGACCTAACACCTCGCAGTGCCTAAGTGACCCGCGGTGGTTGTGGTAGTGCCTAGTGATTGCTTCATTAGTGTGTTCTATAATTCGTACCCGTTGACGCGATACTGTGGGGACGTTCTTGTGTTTGTGCTGCACTAGTAAGGAGAAGGAGTTCATGAAGACAGCGTGTACAGTAAGTGATTCATTGTATGTTCACAACTAATTTCATGATTGGTTTTCTACACTTGGCATGAAAGTTGAGTGTGAGGAAGTGTGAGCACAGGAAACAATTAGTCAGGCGCCGAGGATGATTAGGCTGGTGAATAATTTTCTGACTAATTTAAAGAGAGCTGGACTTATATATAATGATTGCCAACCTTGTGCTCGTTAAAGACTTTGTCATTATAGAACCGACTTTGCTTGGGTTAGGTATATACTGTACTGTTACGGGTAGCCCACCTCCCACAATCGCCGTGGGTTGGGCTGACTTCACAGTGCTTTGTTAAGCATCGTAACCAAATGAATCTCCAACATGGTAAACATTGGTACAAACAAACTTCTTCGCTTTCACAGTCGTCATTTTCTTGCTCTGTGACCTCCCTAACAAGGTATGGTCTCTTAACAAACCCCTGACCGCCGAAATGTAGGGGTTTGTATCCCTGAGCGTTCTATTTTGGCTGCCCTGAAGAGACCAAATGTACTCAAATTAATACAAAAGAGGGAGAAGCATGACTTCTAATCACGAAAAATTTGCTCCGCTCACATATGACCAAAAGACTATATTAGTAGCTCTACTGGCAGAGCACAGAGCAGTAGTGAACAAGAATAGTGACCACAAAAGTCTTACAAAGGAAAAGGAAGTATGGACGAGTTGCCGATGAGTTCAACGCGGCTTACCCTTTAGCTGAGCCCAGGAGTGTGACAAGTTAAACGAGTATGGGAATACAGAAGGAACAAGTAATTGAAAATCAATTTTTATCTATGTTTACCTACAAGTCAAATCACTAACTAGCTCAGTCCATTCTTGGACGAAGTCGCGGACAAAACTAAGGATGTGCGATAATATTCCATAGATTTATTATAAATTTCTTTGTATCTCCAATGCCCTTTCACTTTGAACTCATAAAGGAAATATGCTGTTGAAAATTATATTTATAATGGAAGCCCCTCGAAATCGAGGATGGCCAGCCCAAGGGCCTCCTAGGCGTGAATTTGTTAAGGTGTAGAAGCTGTCGGCAACACAACAACCATGCATGTCCCAGTGTCAAGGAATAGTCCGGAAAGATTGGACAACTCCACTGGCTAACCATTACCCTGGTATACGATCTGCAATTCGATTAACATCCAGGTTCCCAGTTACTGCTGGGGTGGCAGAGGCAAATGGCGTAAAGAAACTTGCCCATAGTTTCACCTTGCCCGGGATCTACTTGGGTCTGCTCGCTTGCGAGGCGAGGATGCTGACCACAAATCGTCAAATTATATTTAACAACACCTTACATGCAGGGCTAATCTGGTTTTATTCTGCCTTTTTCTCCTTTACTGTAGGCAGTAGTCTATTTACTGACTAAAAAATCGGTTATATTTTAGGATAAAGAAAGAATACAAGAATACTTAAAGAAAATTTAGTCACTCCTATCCCTAGCAATTACACGAGGCACTTGTTGCAATTCAACCTGTTCCAGTTGGTGGAACTGCTCTTGCAATACTCCGTGGATTCTAAACATATTGATCTGCACGAGGAAGAAAATTAGCCTTAGCCTTCAATTAATCTAATTCACAGAGTAGTGCCTAATCATTAAGCTTCTGAGTAAATAAAATAACCAAAACAGCGTCTATGGCCAGGTGAGGTATTTATAAGAAAAATTATAAAATACTGTACAGCTAAATTTATGTTTCATAAGTGATGCATATCACTTTCAATGGAACCTATGTAAATCCAGGTGTATTGTATATATTATATTCTAATTAAATTATTTGCACTATTTTGTAGTAATATGACATGTAAAATATATTTATTTAGTTGAATTATTTTAATTTGCTAGTTTATGCATAACAGCCATTAGACTAGTTTCTGTTGGTTGTTCCGTTAATGAACACCAGAGGACCTTAAATTCCCGCCGTCCGCTTGTTGGGAAAAGCCGGTTGATAGTTTTACTCCTGACACCGAGGGCTGTGTGTCGGAGCTGCTTCACCCTGTTCTCTCGGTGTTGTCTGGGTATTTATTTTCTTTAATTATGTGGCTGACCTGTATTCAACTCAACAAGTAAGTTATTCTTGTTATCATTGTTAGGTATAGTGTTTAGGATGTTTCATAGGAATTTAAATTAAGTTACCATTCTGTTTTGCCGTGTAATGTTCGTGCGTGAGTTTTCCTTGTGAGTGCATTGATTTTGTTTTAAGTTTAACTTTCACTTTGGGTCTTCTCCTTTACAATTAAACAACACTTGACCTACTGAAGCTTTTCTACAGCAATTTCTCATCTAAATACAATCTAACAGGTTAAGGATTTTGTCTCTTAAATTCTTCAGTCAATATTAACTGATACAATTTATCACAATCCTTGAGATCAGTCTCCCTCAACCAACAATTAAACAATCTTTCCTTCTCCCTTGCAATTTCAGAATAAGACGGTAAAGAATCTTTTTTTAAGGTATTCTAAATTCTTGCCTATACATTACTGGTACAAAATCATAGTTCTGTAATATTGCCTCCTTTTTGGTGTCATAATCTTTAACTGAAGTCTGAAAGTCACACGTCTCGTTCATTCTTTTCTGAGATTCCTTCAAGCCGAGTGAAGTCGCTCTCTGAATTTCTCAACATATACAGGAAGAGTAAGTTCATTGCCATTGTCAATCTATGAATCTAAAGACCAAGTCTAATGGCTGTTATGCATAAACTAGCTAATCAAAATAAATCGACTAAATAAATGTACTCTACATGTCATATTACTACAAAATAGTCCAAATAATATAATTATAATATAATATATACAATACACCTGGATTTAGACGAGTTCCATTAAAATCACCAATACCTGATATTCATAATAAAAATAAAATAAAAATACCTGATATTCACAGTAACTTTCCGTAATCCCGAGTCATCTCGACTAAGGACTCCCGACAGTATCCCTTTGTCCTACAAATTTGACTAAGGAGTATTCTTTGCATGAAGTACTGAAACCTTTACTGTATGATCTAAAAAATAAAACTGGGGATGGATGGTGTTCAGGTTGTGAAAGATGGAACAGATATCACTAGCAGAGACACCGAGTGATTTTTTGTCTGCAGACGACCCACCAGCCCGTGGTGTTGGAGGATTTTTGGAGTCCGTCACAGTTCAGGTTACTTAACATTCAAAGATACATCATTTTTTCTTATGCTCATATAATGCATTAGCCCATCAAATGCCTTATTTTCCCTGTGCAATTTTGTTTTCTGCCTATGGTGAGTTCTTGATTGCAACACAAATGAATTTTGCAATACAGTAGTTGTGGCAGAACTTTTCGCTGAAATAGTAACCATGGTTTCCAAGACTAAGTTATGACCAGCGTCAAGTATATTCACAATGCTGTAACGTTGATGGAGGAAAACCCTTGTGGAGTAATAGGGACCTTTATTTTATCTACAAATGTGAAATTCAGCCCAACTTAGACAGTGGTTAAGTCGGACCGAAGCGTAGTATTCTAACATTCATAACATGTACCTGTCACCTTCTGTCATAACATGCACCTGTCACCTTTCTTTCATAACCTGCACCTGTCACATTTGTCATAACATGTACCATTCTGTCATAACATGCACCTTTCTGTCATAACCTGCACCTGTCACCTTTCTGTCATAACCTGCACCTGTCACCTTTCTGTCATAACCTGCACCTGTCACCTTTCTGTCATAACCTGCACCTGTCACCTTCTTCTCTTGCTGCAGAATCAAGAGGTTAGAAGATGTACCTGGTGAGCGGCCTGGTGACGTGGGTAGCCGTGCTTCTGCTAGTGCTTCCCCAGCCAGCCTACACTGCCCTCAATGATCGGTGAGTATCCCCTACCAAAGCGACCATGGACTGTTCGTTTTCTGTGGGGCTGATTAAAATGTTCTTATGGGTGAATGACTATGGCTGGCTGTAGTGGTTGTATGTCAATGGGTGTATGGATGTTACGTGTATAACAATGGGTTTATGTATGGTTGCAGAGGGTGTGCAGAGTGTAAACCAATGGGTGTAGAAGATGTATGATAATGAAAGCATGGGTATAGAAAGTGTATAACAATGGATGTGAGTGGAGCTGGTGTATTTTTTTTGTGGGGATTAGCCCACCCAGGCACATGTCACTGACCCACATGGGGGCGAAAATTTAATAAGTATTCGTAGTAAATAAATTTTATAATAAAAAGTAAAATAAAATATTAATAATAATAATAACACTCTAATAATAATAATAATAATACTAATAATAATAATAATAATAATAAAGAACTATAAAATATAGATAGTGAGAAACGCTATATGTATGTTGTTCTGTCAAGTAAGAGAAACAATTGAGACCCTGCTTCCAATATCTACCCAGGCGGTAGTACCTCCCTGTTTAGTAGCTGCCCACTACCTTACTACCTCATATGACTGGGAGTGTATGAAAATGGGTGAAGAGGTTGTATGACAATGGGTGTATGGATGTAGTAGGTATGGCAATGGGTGTATTAAGAGTAAATACAAAGAGAGAAACATAAAAATAGAGATAATCCAATAGAGAGAGAGAGAGAGAGAGAGAGAGAGAGAGAGAGAGAGAGAGAGACACAAAACTATCAGTCTTCACATCACCAGGCCCCGGGTGAAGTGTCAGTCGGGTCACCTGAGGCTGGAGGGCGGCACTGGCAAGAACATTACCCTGGTCACGCGAGGCTCCGGTGCTGTCACCATCAACGGGGTGGACGTGGCCGGCTCTCTGTCTTTGGTAAGTACCTGATTATATGAGTATATTATACGTTCTTCTCTCGGGGGATGATAACCCTCAGGGGTGCTGCATGTGAGGTTGATGCTCCTGTATGGTGTCGGGGGTCGCCTGCTTTTGAATAGTCGTCCGTCGCGGCAAACTTGTCCCTGACGAAACCTTGCAGACAGCATTGACCGTCGAGTCTATTGTCCTTGGCTCCTCGAATCTATTAAGTACAGGGCATGAATACACCCGTGTCGTCCGTGGGGTGGGGTGAGGGGCTATGGTCACCCCCGCTTTCCCAGGGTCACCTCCACAAGGCGTTAATGAAACCCTACCAAACATTATCCCATATTTTTTCCTTATAATTAATTGACAAACATCGGGCTGTGTAAAGGTTAGCTATAATAAGTTAAAGCAACCCACACTTTGACTTACCTGACAGGTGAGAGCATTGTGATACCTGTATTATTTATTATCAAACCTTGTGAAAATCTTGCGAAGGAGCAGCCTGAAGGATAGAGGGTATAATTTGCATGTTTAATCTGTTATAACCTGCTCTGGTTTATCCTAATCCTACTGGACTGTAAAAGACGAAATTTGAGATTGAAAACTTGAATAACAAAAAAAGGTGACTGTCGATTAACAGGTGTAACTATTAACACAGTAGCACCTTAGAATGTTACCAAGGAATCTATTGTTTTGTTACGAGACAGGCATAGAAATTATTGTAGGTACTATATTGTTTCCTTAACCCCTTCATTACGGGGTCGCCTCTTTTTGGTAATTTATTTGGCTAACACCAGATGATTTTATTCAGCTCAGAGGGGAACCAGTACACACGTATTGCTACTACTATTAATAATACAGTAATATTAATGATAATAAGAATGAGTGAAGACTAAATAGAATATCGATCACAAATTTCTGTAATATGATCTTCACAAATAAGTTTACTGAAGGTTAATAAGTCAAACTATATCATTATGCTCTTCTAAAACAAGCGTAATTTATTGCTACATAAAGTCAAGTACAGAAGCTGCTAAACAAATTACTGGAATATCAATCATTGTAATTAATTTATTATTATTCGATTAGTAGACAAAAAATATTCACGGGTCGAAATTTTCTTCGAATAGGTAAAACGAGAAGTATTTAGATACATCATTATATGAAATACAATAACTATTTTTTTTAAGGAAAGGCGAGGTAATGGTTATTACATTATGCCCTATTTTTAACATCTATCTTCATCATCATCATCGTCTTTTTCATTTTCTTTCGGTGGCAACATTTGGCCTTTTAGTCATCTTTCGGCTTTTTCTCTTTATTGTCATCCTTATCGCCGCCTTTGTCGTCCTTATCGTCCTTCTTCTTATCATCTTTCTTGGCATTATCATCATCATCATCATCGTCATCATCATCATCATCGTCTTCGGCGCTGTCCTCGTCCTTGTTATCATCTTTATCTTCTTTTTCATCATTATCTCTGGAACAATAGATAATAATGAAAAACTTTTGCCCTAATTAGATCAAGAAGTACAATACACTTATATCAAACTCGGTATATATATATGTTATAAATTCACTCCTCATTCGCTATACATCCCGCTATACATTCAATATAAACCCCCCAAAATATGATCTTGATTTAGAGTACCGAGGCTTCTATCCACAAGTGTTATTTTAGAGCACTGGATCATCCTGTCATAATTACTGTACTGTACTTATTGCCGGTAGTTACTCTTACCTCTTGAACCTGTGGGACTCATCCTTGGAGGTGCGGCGGCCTTCCGTGGCTGTCATCATTATCGCCAGACCTATTAACATTAGCAGTGACAACCTGGAGAAGAGGAGGATGATGATGAGGAATATAATGATGTTTGTAATGTGAAGTGGTTTAGATTTGTACACCTTCCCACTTAAAGAACTACAACTGTATGCGTGCACTTGTGTTCATGTTTATAGGTTTGCATTACCAGATATCATATGAGTTCCTTATTCAGCATTTATCAAGGTCAAGGAGTTACGTGATATTGAGCGATGGTGGATTTGTTCACCTTCATTACGAACCATTTATCTTCTCTGCTCTTACGGACAAAGTTATAGGTACAGGTATAATTGATAAGATTTGGGATGTAAAGGTGAGGAATATCACCCATAAGTTACAGGATATTGATGTAATTAAGAGAAATAGAATAGGTTTGGGTGTAATAGTTTGATGGGATAGTAATTCAATAGTAGGAGATGATACTGTTTGAGAGTCGGTAGAGAACTAAGTAGACTAACATAACTGAAGGCACTATAGTGGGTAATTGGCATGACTTAACATACACCGATAAGAGAAAAAGATATTGATTAAAATTCGATTGAAATTGGTTTAAAAAAAAAACTCAAGTTGATAAAAGAAGCAGATAAAATTGACCAATATTTGACAACTGAAAATTGAGTGGATGAACAATACACATATATGATATAGAAGGAATTGAACTCACAGGATCACAAGAAGATTAGCCTCCCCAGCTTTCTTCACTGGATGGATTAAACACACACTCGCTAACTGAGGGGTTTAGGTTAGGTTAGCGTTGAGGTAGTTAATCTCACGGTGAAATAAGCTGGGGTACTAATGTTCATATGGTCCAATGTACAGTGCATATACAAACGGTATCTAAAAAAATAACTTGAAAGTATAATGAAGCGAAATGGATAATCAAATTGCTAGGTAATGAGATACTCACTTCATGCTGATGTCTGTGTGAGTCGCAGGGTGAGGGCAGGGGTGATTGAAGTGCTTGGCAGGTGTGAGGAACACTATATACTGTAGCCGCGAGCCGCTCCACCTCCCACTGGCCTTCACTATAGCTACCACATGTCACCAGTACCATAATGTGAAGCCTTAGGTATATATGTACGTAAATGTATAAATTCATATACACAGAGGTAAAAACTTACATACAAACACGTACACACACACACACACACAAATGCATGTATGTGTGTAAATGTAAGTACAAGTTGAACCCTCTAATCAGTGGGTACCCTCGGGACATAATCGGTGCATGACCGTAGAAAATTTGTAAACCACAAAAGGTCGACTAAAGTTTGGTTAAATAATTACTCAACTTTGCTGTTTATACTCGAAGTAGAAACACATTTCAGGTTAAGGAAGTTGAATCGTCTTAAAAATGTTCTAAATTGATGACACATTCCGGACAAGAAAAAAAATATTACAATTATTCTCACAAAGTAACATTTAATATACAAATCCGAGTTAATGATACATACGCATAATCCCCCAACCAGTATGTGAGGCAGATCTTTATATATGGTGAGTTTGTCTCCAGTATTGTGTGACATAATAGCAAGTTTTTTTAATATGATGAACAAGAAGGGAATAATACATCGTGTAACTATGCAACCTCGCTGTGGCTGAACACTATACAGCCCGTGTCTTAAACGAGCAACACTACACCCCACTGCGTGTAACCTCCTGAAAGTGAGATATAGCGTGAAAATTCTTAAAAAAAAGGAAAATAAAAACAGCCTTCATAAAACGGCAGTAATTACTTTAATGTATTACCTACTACTGTTGACTAACTTGACGTTTAATACTGTACATTATAACAAAATCGTTTCTTTCGCCCAACAAATAAATATTCATAGTATCACCTACAGTTAATTTCGTTTTTTTTTTTTACATTTATAAGATAAAAATCGCAAGACTCCACACTATAGGCGATGTAGAAAAGTGAATATCAATAAGTCTACAAAATACAGCGTTATTTAATAGAAGAGAACGTGACTGTCACACTCAGATACATATCAGGGTACACAGGTCTCAGAGGTCCTTTCAATGTTGACAGAAAGGAACGAGGGTGATGAAAAATTGGTCATAATATTGTTAACTGTAGGATGATCATGAAACTGGCAGTGCAGGACGAGTGTTAGAGGATTGCTTCATCGGGTCAGTCAGTCAGTCAGTCAGTCAGTCGCAACTATTTAGCCAGATAATCGGTAAAAATAGTCGATGCATCATCACCTAAAAGATTCACCCCCAGATTATATCACCTTAAGATTAACCACTCTTAACACTACCTAAGGGGGGGTGGGGGGGGGATATGTTAGGTGGTTAGATCAGTTTAGGTTAAGTTAGATTAGGTTCGTTAGGTTAGATTAGCGACAGTTTAGGTTAGGTAAGATTAGCGGTTGTTTAAGTTGGGTTTGATTAGGTTAAGTTACGTTACGCGACATTTGGGTGGGTTAGTGTTGTAGTTAACCATGAGATGAAATAAGGGGGAGTGGGGGATGATTCTTCAGGTGATCCCAATCAACTTAAGAATCTCTATGAATCTGTATGACAGTGGATTGAGCCGTTTTATAAGACCATAGTATCTAATCTTCGTCGGCAAACCTCTTCTCCTTTGATGGAAATTCCCCTCAAGGATTTTTTTTTTCCATTTCTTTATAAACTTTTGTTGACGTTTGTTGGAGGATGTCATAAATCTCGGAGTTGTCGTGATGATGGTGGGAGACAAGGTTATAAAAGACACGAAGATCTGTGGTGATTGGGTCCTCCCCTCCGCCACCAGAGGGACACGTGACTTTTTTTTCTTTTTATAAATGTTAAAAGACCCGTAATTCTTATGTTTAGTCTATAGTACACGCACACAGTTAGTTGTTGAACCACAGTAAAACATTACATGACTTTTAACACAAACATCCTCTCCACCCGCTTACCCCATTAAAGAGACAAGGGAACGTAGACGAGAAAGGAAAAGGAAGAGAGGAAAAGCGAGGAAAGTGAACGAAGGGGCAAGTAGAGATGAGAAAAAAGAAGGTAAGAACAAATGGAAAAGGGAAATAGAGAACAGTCTATGGAACCAAAGAACGACGAAGAAAGTGAAACAGGATGTGTGGGGAGAGGAACGTCCTCCCTCCTCCATTCTTCACGATCCTCCACTGATAAGATAAACGAAGGTTAACCAATCGTGATGATGTGGGGAATAATGACAATATCACAGAAAAATATTTATGCCTTTTTTTCACATTATAAGTGTTGTGTACTATGTGCTTCAACTGCTAGGGCTTATTAAGCATCGTTGATTAGGTCTTAAATTTAGAGGCTTCAAATGCCATGGGCATGAATCACACTTCAAGATTTGTGAAGCACCGCTCAGTAGGGCTTAGTTTTAGCTGCTTCAACTGCCATGGCTTCTCAATCACCATTCACGAGGTCTTTGGTTAAAGTGCTTCAATTACCAAGTGTAAAAGGTGGTCACTTACCTTGTCACTTCAGTAATACAACCCCAAATGCTGTTATTCCTCGAACGCTTATAACTGGGAGAAAATCTTTATCATCTCGACCATCTTTTTACCATTAAAACAAAGACTGTTTATTGTCTCCTATTAATCTGTCCTATAAGGAAAAAAGACAAAAGGTAAAGAAATAAGTTATCACATAAACGTGACTCAGGTATCCGGGTCACCTGCCTGTGAATAATTAGTGGGGCCAGGACTCGGGTAGACCACAGCCTTACACCCTCACGATCCCCCACATCCCGCTGGAGGTGTAGGCAGATCTTCCCATGACGTGAATATATAATACAACATCTAATTAAAATGGATACCATATGTGACGTTGTTAAGTGTGGCGCTTTTCATAGTGTATCCTTTTAGAAATCGGGACAGCGAGTGTTATTTTTTAAAAGACAAAGAAGATTTATTATTCTATGTGATAAACCGAACACACACACACACACACACACACTACTAATGGGTCATGCTATTAGGTTGAATGAAGCAACAGTAACAAAACCAGACACATTTTATACTTTACTGAGGAAGAAATGGCACCGTAAAAGAACGCATTTTATAACCGCCCAGATTGTCAGCCAATGAAAGGAAGGAGAGGGTCAGTAAAAATAAGTTATCTCATGGTATCCTTTATTAGGGTAAGCACTTGATATCGTAGTGGTGGTATGCAGTAGATGTGGTGTTGTGTTATCATATGGATGTCTAGTAATCACCATTTGGGGGGGGGGGTGGTGGTGAGAGGGAGTCATGATGTTATTGGTCTCCTGTGATGTTTTGAAGTTTATTTAATACAGTATTTATTCATTTTTGTCATTATTTTTGTGTTATGTTTTGGTGATGTTGATGGTATTGTCATTGTGAGTGTTATTATTATTTTTTTTTTTTTGCTGTTATGCTGTTCTTGTTGTTTTCATTTGTGTTGAGTTTGTTATTTTGTTGCTGTTTTTTATAGCTGTTGTTGCAATGATACCATTTATACTATTATTGCTATTATCATTATTCTTATTACCAATATCATGATCATTACTATCATTATTATTCCCCCAACACTATAAAAACAAAATTAACTTATCATTCTGCCTTTAGTAAAACAACCAATCCACACTGCCTCATGTGCCTCTTTTATGCAACTAATTCAACACGTGAAAACCAACCAACAAATATATATATATATAATACTTGCATTAGAGTATAAACTACCCTTGGGTCTTGTTGCAAACGAATAGTGTATTGAGTTCACATTGCAAGTGATTAATTGACTTTTTTTTCCAGTGTTTTCTTCTTCACTTTCCATCTTTTGTTGTTATTGGAAGGAGAAAGTGCGTTGTGTTTCTAGTTGTATGATTATTTGCTTTCGTTGCTGCCGCTGTTGCTGTCGTTGTTGCTGTCTTCACTACTCCTATCTTCACCTCCTTCTCCACTGCTTTCGTTACTGTTATCTTCACCTCCTTCATCGCTTTCTTCACTGCTGTCGTCAAAGGTCGTAATGGTAGAGTCAGTGACCATGGTGCCAGCATCTACTTGCCTGTAAAAGTTGATAGTGCAAAATACATTAATTAACCCTGTGAGTACGATTATATATCTCCCTTGAGTACGATGAATTATCTCCCTTTAGTACTTTGGATTTGTCTAACCTTTAAATGGATGTCTATTTTCATCATTAACTGGTTGAGTTTAGTCATTAGCTGTTAATTCAGTCTTATTAAGTGATAATTTGGTCTCACGATTAAGTGGTCTTCCAGTTATAGTATAAACGGGCCAGTCAGTCATACCTTTAATTGGTCATCCATGAACTGTTAATATATTGTTCAGTCCTCCCTTTAACTGGTCATACAGTCACAATCCCCACCCAAGTCACCAGTCACCCCTACCTACTCGTCTCCAGGATAGTCGTACCTCTTCATACGACTCTTCAAAATGTCGAAGTCAAGCTCATCATCCATCTCAAAGGACGAATCACTCGAATCGCTAACGTCAAGGTAGAGGGCTGAGTTGACTGTCACCAGGGCCAGCAGACCGAGCAGAACCAGGGCGAACCTAGAGTGGGGCGAGGAGGTGAATGTTTAATGCATGGATAAAAAGTTACTGGGGAGTGCATGGGCTAATGAAAGAGAAATTTCTGAAAGTATACCTCACGGATACTTTTAAACACACACACTGAGAGGCGATGGATGACAGTAAGAGGAAGTATAGTAACAAAGCCCTGACGTTCAAGAGCTTGCGAGGTGACTCCAGGGTAAGGTGTTGTTAGTGTGTACCCAGCTCTGTGTGTGTTGAATATATACATGCGTGTGTCTTTGTGTGAGTGCGTAAAGGGATATGTCATGTTACTAATATGTAAATTGCATTGGTTTAACACCGAAATAAGGTTTCAAATCAACTGGACTTGCAGCGAACAGTAAGACACTAAATCTTGTGGTTATAAGTTTCAGTGTGGTACCAATTGTTTCATGGCGCCAAACTCATCATAATACTATGGGTTCGATCACCCTAGTTCGTCATACTATCTCAGTGTAACGTATACCCTCTTGTGATGTTTCCCCAATAATTACTCGCTCCATTCGATGTAAGATCCCTTTGATGATTGACATGGCGTTGGTATCCATTTAAGACGTCCATTCCGAGTCATGTAATATAGGATATGAAGCCTCGGAGGATCCACATCGTTCGAAAAAGTATATACTCATTCATGCTCAAAGTTCGCGGATTTAGAGCTACCAACCGTTCCAAAACAGGTCGAGTAACATTGCTCAGAAAGCCTCGAATCACATCGACCCCCATGGCTAACGATACTTTTTGAGGTGGATTGTACATTACACCCTCTGTGTCTGTAGCATCTTACTCGTGAAGTCACTATATCACAAGCTGACTTCACCACCAACAGCCATCAGGATGTTAGGATGAAGATAGTGACAAACGACAAAGAACAAGATGGACACGACGATAGCGACAAACTCTTTACATTAACATTATAAACATATTATTCAAGGCCAAGTGCAACACACTACTCTGAAATAATCTACACATTGAGGTAATTATATATAACTTTAGTTAATTGGACGTGTTTACCCGCAATAAAAAAAATCCTTCAAATGCGACAAACATCCATCAATAAGGTCAGAAAGGTCGGGTGTGGGTCAGTCTATACACAGTTTAATGACGTCACCTTCATTACAATAGGGCGAATATATCTTAAAATACTCTACATAATTCAATGAACAATTTGGGGTAAACTTTTCATTTATGGGGTATAACTGTGTAGGAGAATGACATCTTTACTTTAATATTACTCCATAAAAATATACGCAAAATTAATCAGACATAAGTACAGAGTTAAGTGAAAACTAAGACTGTTGTACTGAAAGATACTGACCAACCAGGTGATTTCTGGCCCAGTTAATGAACGGAATTGGTATATCGCACTAACGCGGACGGACGGATCGACGTACTACCGTTTTCAGACACCGCTGCCACACAAGAGAGAGAACTAGAGAACGTCTTTGATTATAATATTTAATTACAACTTCAATACGGTATGGTCACGTCTCATTACTAAAGACAAATCGATGTTCACATCCGGGTGATATTGCTACCGTGAATATGAACCAAAGGGCGGACGATCTATACTGAGAATATACTGATGCATAGAGGAAATACGACGCTAAAGTACACACTAATAGGAGTAATGCAAGATACCAACATGATGACAAGACAGGCAATATCAGACGAGGACCAAACACACCCGAGGAACTAAGCTCCCTCGAGGCTTGATACTCACCTCATGTTGCTGGTTTGAGTCATGGGGTCGTAGTGCTGCTAGGGCCTGAAGATGCGACGGTGAGGAAGAGTGTGACTGTAGCAGGAAACGAGGAGTCGATCTTTATATCTGAATAATTTATTGACACAAGAAGAGTGCATCGTCACCCCATCCCACCTGCCAGGTACCACTACATAGGTGTACCTTTTTTTGTGTTTTTTTACCTGGAAACTAAATTATATCCATTAAATGATTTTATTTATGGTTGTGGTTATAAAATCAGTTTGTCTGTCATAAGTCTAATTATCTTTAACTATCTTCCAATAGTACAGTAATGGAAAATGAATGAGATGGATTACATGTTACCAATATCACAGGTGTTTCGCTCGTATGTCCTATACTTTTTTTTTAAATTAACGTTCGGATAATTACACACCCATGTACAGCCACCAGAGGCGTTTCAACGATTATACAGTAATTCAATAATATTTTTGGTCCTTTTTCGTTTTGGTTATAAATTGAAATGTTTAACTCTTAGAATATAGAAGGTGTCCTAATCTATTTAACGTTTAATTAGTAGTTATATAATTAAGTTTTTCTCGCTAATAATAATAACAATTGGTCTTTTTCCAGCCTATTTTTTTTTTTGGGGGGGGGTTATATTTCATCTTCCCATTTCTCAACCTCTCCATTTTCTTTGGTATTATCAATGTTTTCTTATATTTTATCTTTTCTTTTTATCTATCCTTCCGATTTCCAAGTTGTAATTTTCTTTCATTTTTATATCAATCGTAATGTATAAATTTACTTTTTCTCTTCCGATTTTATATAGTGAAATGGTGTATTCCAGTCATTCCAAGGTTATTTTTTTTACACCCGAGATCCCACGTCCGGGAATTGTTCGACACCACAACTGCACCCAACCCACACGAGCACGTACTGATGATCACTATCAGACCAGCCCAGTCCCATCAACAACTCGTAGTCAACCAAGGTGTTCACTCTCTGCTTATCTTACTTTTGCACTGTTACTATGTTGAAATGCCCTGTAATATGACCTTCTCCCCACCTTGATATATCATATTTATATCACTTATGTTACTTGTATAATATTGGTCAATCAAGTGATCCATTCCCCAATTATGTAACTATATTTTCAGTCATTTCACTGCCACGTTCCTTCAATAAAGCGTTAGTTATTGTTGCTCTTCTTAGTATTATTTTTATTATTATTATTACACCATAAAGCCTGTGTCGAGCTCTACCGTCCACCCGTGAGATTACTATTGTGGAAAAAACAAGAAAATAATATAGTTAAAAATACCAACAGTTACACAATATATATAAAAGTATACGAAAGCTAAACAGTTTATTAATTTCTTATATTTAGTAACGTTATTTTTTATTTTGTTAGGCAATGAGTGTTAACAGATCACAGAGGAAAATCATATATAAAATATTTAAATGTATATAAATGAAACCAATGTGATAAAATATTGTTTAAGAGTAACAGTATGTGACGAAGATATACTAAGACCATAGTAAAAAAAATGCAAATATATTAAGAAACTAAAGAAAAAACATTGCAGTAATATCTCTACACAGGTAGGAAGGGGTGTACACAGGTGAACATCGTTTGTACACAATATTTGCATCTGATCATATGAATATTTCCGTTTCCTGAAAGTTGACTAATTTTATGTTTACCTGAGTGAGTTTCATGTTTGTTGTGAATGAAGAACTTCCTTGAAATAGCGATACTTATTTAGGTGTCCTTGAAGCTGTAAGATATACTGTTCTATGCTGAAGCTGCTGATGGTGAGCGACGTTTCAATATAAGTTGTAATTGAAAATATAAAGGATACCAATACCAAAATAGTGCTTAGACTGTGTAGTGTTCTTGTAGTTGTAGAATAAAATATAATTGGAAGGAAGCTTTTTAATACAAACGGTGATAGGAGAAAGGTGATCTCGTGTGTGTGCGTGTGTGTGTGTAATTTTGAAAGCACCTCTGTATTATATCATTAAATGAAGATAAATATATTATGTACACTTCATACCGAGTAGTTAACAGCCCATGCGAGCCTGGCTTTCGCCAATTCCAGGGCATCTCTACTGCCATAGCCCCTGGCATGTGAGCAGGCCGACTATGCTATGGTGGGTGGAGTGTTGTGCAGTGTTGGAATAAGGACAGAAGCAAAGCCTTTCATATGGCCTGGCATGACGGCATGAAACAAAATAATCAACCTTGGCCTCCCTGTAACTTTCTCACTGACCGAATAACTTTTCTATATAGTATACGTCAGAACGAGTGTAATAATAATATTTAAAAAAAGATCATTTATTTTCTATTGATTTCTTTTATTTATATTTCTTTACTTTTGCTCTTTTTGTTTTTCTTTCTCTTGCCTTATTCTTAATTATTTTATTCTCCTCGTTGTACTTGTGAGACGGCGTGGTTAGGGGGAGGAGACCAAGAGGGAGACTGAGGATTGAGGGAGGTTTGTTTATGTTAGCAGTACAGAAGGCTGGTGAGGGGTAGGAATGTAGGAACTCACACCAGAGGTAAGCTGAGGGGAGAGGGAGAGAGAATAACTGGGGAATAATGGTGTATCCGGTGATAACTGAGGAACAGGGATGCCAGGCGTTGGATTATGTTATTTCTTATGGCTCACTGTATCGCTGCTTAATATCAAAGACATGCATGACAATGTTTTTGTCAACACAAGGGAATCGAGACAATCATAACGGTTCTTTTTTTATTAACGACGTTACTCAAATTGAACAGTTACACTTCAAAACAATAAATAACCTATCTTCCTAGCTAGCTAACCAGGGGTCACATGACATGTTACACCAGAGCTTGTATACAGTATATACACCACTGACAACATCTAATACTGATGTTTTTCTCGAGTTGGATAAAAGGCAAATTTCATGGACATATCCTTTGAAAACTTGTCCAATTTCATTAACTGTGAAGTAGAATGAAAGAACTGGCCTGAGTCATCACTTCTCTCGATTAAAGTTTAAATTTAAGACTCGCTAATTATCATATAAAGGCTTTAAATTGCCATTCAAGTTTAACCAAATTCACTATATGAACTAAGCAATACCAGCATCTAAGCAATTTCTTTTTATTAATTAAAAACTGAGAGATTGATAGTTCCTTAGTACTTTATAAACTGGTACTTAATACACGTCACTAGACTTAAACAAGTGATCGTGGGCCCTTTGTGCCCGGTAGCGAGTCCGTCCCGAGGTACAGTTTACCAAGGCCTGAAAATTCGAACACTCGTGCTTGGCTAGCGCGCAAACGCCGTCCGGCTGACAGCGTACAGCGACATTGTTTTCCAGATGGTCGTGGTTGTTCTACTCATGGTCGTGGTTATAATCATGGTCGTGGTTGTTATAATCATGATCGTGGTTATGATCATAGTCGTGGTTGTTATAATCATGGTTGTGGTTGTTATAATCATGGTCGTGGTTGTTATAATCATGGTCGTGGTTTTTATAATAATGATCGTGGTTGTTATAATTATGGTCGTGGTTGTTATAATCATGGTCGTGGTTGTTATAATCATGGTCGTGGTTATTATAATCATGGTCATTGTAGTTTTAATCATGGTACTGGTTGTTATAATCATGGTCTTGGTTGTTATAATCATGGTCGTGGTTGTTATAATCATGGTCGTGGTTGTTATAATCATGGTCCTGGTTGTTATAATCATGGTCGTGATTGTTACAATAAGGGTCGTACCTGAGACTAACACAGGTAGAATAAACCCCAGACTTTATCTTTAATCTCAATAAACTCAGATTAACCTCACCCAATCAACAGGATTAGAGACCATTAGGATTGTACCACCAATACCAATACATTTCACACTGGATTAATAACAAAACATTTAATCACATTTCCAATAGCTTATGTCTTACGGATATCTTATCAAGTTGTGAGTCTTATATGTCTATATAATTGTTTTATTCTTACAAATATTTATAGTTCGTTATGTATTGTATTGTATGGTATTGTATGGTACGGTATTGTACTGTATTGTATCCGGCTGACAGCGTACAGTGAATGAGGGTGCGGCAAGTCTGTAGACTTGCATGGTTAATTAGGGTGCGTCAAGTCCATAGACTTACATCGTTTTCCATCGTAAATAAAATGGTTAATTAATGCCTTCCTAAAGAAACCATCGACATGGGACCAGGTTTGTTCCACTCTACGAATTTTTTGCGATTTTTCCACCAAGTTTGATGAAAAAGGATTGTGCCGTTTCAGCTGCCCAGAACAGACAGACAGACAGACAGCTAGTCCTATAGTATAGTGCATTCCTGTTTAAAGTGATGAAAATTTATCTTTCTTCTTTATCTTTATCTTAAATTCTCTTTAACATGATGGTAGTGATCTGTTTAGATAACTCTGTCGATATGTTTACACACCTCCATCTCTACATACTCACATAACTCCATCTATATACTTACATGTCAATACACCTCTCATCCAAATACTCCCTAATAATATCACACACACACACACACCCCGTATACTCGTATAATATAAAATATCTAAAACTCGAGCAATAAGACATAGGTATATGTAAGAATACACGGTTTTATTTATGCTTTCTTTAATGTACTGTATGTATAATTAAGTTATATAATTTCACATATAATTAATTGAATAATGAAGGGCGTTTAAATTGTCTTTTTATGTGCGTATGTTAGTAATATATGGAAGCACAGTTATCTTTACATCTGCTGGAAGAAACGAGTATGTCGGTATATCTGGCTAAATGACTATTTGTATTATTGTTACCTAACCTTCCTTATATTATTTGATTTTATATTAAAGTGGCTGGGTGGTTATACTAATGAGTTGGCATCCTTTAGTATGTGGGTTCGATAGTGTTTTGTTTATATACCTATACTCGCACGGTGGTGGTGGTGTAAACCATAGCACCGAATTTGTTGTAATCATGAGGCACCTTGGTTCGATCGTATAAGCTCATCTGAGATACCATAACAGAGAGGGAAGTAACATACGACGATATATTACTGTGTGGAAAGTGAACATGATTAAGATATGTCTATGAATGGAGTGACTAGAGATATTATTAATTAATTGGTTTTGTTTGCTTTTCTTTCTGTCCACCATTATCATCATCACCGTCAGCGCTTCTGTAATGGGAGTAAAATAGCAAAGTTAATATTATAATGCTTATAATTAGTAAGTGAATATAATGAATATGAAAGCAGTCAATGGATGTGTATTATTTATATCGTTAAGCTAAAATTTTCTTCATATGTTCTGGGTCTGTGTGCCTCAACGTAGCCACTACCTAATTCGAATGAGAAGAATTGTGAGGGGATGGGGGATTGTGAGTGAGTGGGGATTGTGAATAGGTTTTGAGGGTGTGGGGGGTGAGGGAAGGGGGGAGCACGAGGGAGGGATGGAAGAAGAGGCCCCTGAGAACTGCCAGTCTTCCTGCCCTAAACTGACCTACAAAAATAAGTTAATGGTTTTGTAGACTATTTTCAACTAGTACCACTACGTTTACTACTACTACTACTACTACTACTTATAATAATAATAATAATAATAATAATAATCCCTTTATTGGCATACACTGGATCTGTGTTATAATACATATGAAAATACTTATTATAGAGAAAGTTTCATTAACTTATTTTTTAGTGATATGGTGTGTGTGTATGTGACAGTAACGTACCAGACACTAAAATTACTCTTCTTCATCTTCTTCTTCATCCTCTTCTTCTTCCTCTTCCTCTTCCTCTTCTTCCTCTTCTTCATTATCTCTATAAATACAAGAAAGAAAGAAAGTTAAACACTAGAGAGAGCGAGAGAGAGATGGACAGACAGACAGACAGTGGGTTGCACTGAACAGGTAAAATTAGTTACCGGTTTGTTCTTTCACTCTCTCCTTTCTCTTCGAGTTCCTGTTCGTACTCTTCGTCCTCTACATATTTGGATTTAACTTCTTTGTAGGAATAATGGTATTGATGGTGCAGTAACTGAATATAGTTGCTACGTATATTAATAGTAGAAACGACAGGCTTACTACCACCACTACTACTACTTTTTTTTAATAGTGGCCTCCAGCCTCCCCCAATAGCCACACCTTCACCGCCATTTTATAACCTTAATATTTAATATCCTAATACATAAGTAGCTATCCTATCTGTGTTGAATTAGTTGAGCCGCAGATCTATGCGGCATTCTGTGACTAGCCTCATAGTCAATATCTGCAGCAGTTGTCGGCATTGGGGCAGAAGCTCTCGTTCCCCTGAGGCAGAGCAAAGCCGACCGAAGGAGAGAGAAAGACGGTCGACATCTCATCCAGGCTGTAACATAACTGCTGGGCTGCTGCTTCTCTTCGGAGATCACCTCCTCGAGTCTGGCGTAGAAACATCTTGCACTTGGTCTCATCCCACCAGAGGATGTGAACACTAGAGTGAAGCTGCCTTGATCAACGTTTTGAACTCTCTCCCCATATGCCCTTATCTTGTCGTTCTCGTTCCTCCTGTGTGCAGCATCGAGAGCTAGGTTACGGTGACATGCGGGCATGGGATCAAAAATCCTGATGTCGAAGAAAGCTCGCTGTCCCAACGTCCAGAATCCTCGAGCACTGACGTCAACACGGGCTTCGTTAGATGTGTTTGAAGTCCTATGTTGGAAGATCTCACCGTCCAAAGGAAGGAGGGACGGTTCTACCATGACATCCCAGCAGATTTCCTTCAACATATTTGCTGTGAGGTCCCTTACTTCGTCATGCCTCATGCATATGAAGCCCCCTTTCTTGCACACCATGGCGTGATCGACGTCATAGGAAGAGCCACACACGCATTGGGAGGGCAAACCTTCTACTGGCCAACCGTACCTTAGAGCAATGGCATCTGTAAATTCTTGTTTATCGAGACCGAAACCATTTGCCCTTATCGGTAACGTAGTTAACCAGTTCGAGGCGTCCACCTCCTGCGCTATAGCTACTTTTTTTCAAAATTTCTGGTACCTGCAGCAACAATTGCTGCAGCTTACCATTTTGGCAGTGTTGTCGTTCTGTCGTAATGGACCTACGAATCTTGTTTACTTCACTGGTATCCACCTCTCCTGTTGCGTTCTGGGCTATTATGTGGTCCGTGAGGGCTGCCATGAGCTTAAGTGAATTTTGATGTTCGGTGGTAGCAATCTCCTTTGGATTGGTTAGTCCCATACCTCCCAGTCTTGATGGAAGTGCAAAAAGTGATCTTTCTGCTGGGGTTAAGAGAGGATGTTTCACTAATTTGGGAATGAAATTGACACTGATAGCTTTTTCCAGAGGGTGGAGGAGGGATCCGATATCAGGGATAGTAAGCATCAGGTAGTCCCAACGATGCTTGTCTCCATGGGTGAATGCAGCAAAAGCCACATGTGGCTCTGTGTTAGCAATCTCAGACAGAGCTTGGTACTACTACTACTACTACATTTAATTTTTTAAAACGTGGCCTTCAGTTTCCCCAACAGCCACACCTTCGCCGCCATTTTATTGCCTTAAAATTAAATATCCTATTACAAAAGTAGTTACCCTAACTGTATTGAGTTAGTTGAGCCGCAGATCTTTGCAGCTTTCAGTGACTGTTGCCTCATAGTCAATACAGTATCTGCGACTGTTGTTTGCTTTGGGGCCGACGAACTCGTTCCCCTGAGGCAAAGCAATGCAGACCTAAGCAGAGAGGACAGTCGACATCTCAGCCAGGCTGTGACGTGGCTTCTGCTCAGATAAAACCTCAGGCAGTCTTGCGCAGAAGCGTTTTGTACTTGGTCCCATCCTGCCAGAGGTTATGAACACCAAAGAGGAGTGAAGCTGCCGTGGTCCACATTCTAAATTATCTATGAATACACCCCAATTTTGTCGTTCTTGTTCCTCTTGTGTGCAGCCTCAAGAGACAAGTTATGGTGACATACAGCCAGGAGGTCGAATATCCTGGCCTCCCCGCATCCAGAATCCTCGAGCGCTGACGTCCACATGAGCTTCGTTAGATGTGTTGGAAGTACTGTGATGGATATTCTCACCGTCCAACGGAAGGAGGGTCGGCTCCACCATGGCAGATTTCCTTCATTATATTTGCTGTGAGATTACTTCGTCATGCCTCATGCATACGAAGCCCTCCTTCTTACACACCATGGCATGGTCAATATCGTAGGATGAGCCACACATGCATTGGGAGGGCAAACCTTATGCTGGCCAACCATACCTTAGACTCTTAAAGCAATGGCATCTTTCAATTCTTGTTTATTAAGGCTGAAGCCTTTTGCCCTTATCGGTAATATTGTTAGCCAGTTCGAGGCGCCCACTTCCTGCGCTATAGTTATTTTTTTTACGTTCTTTGGCAATTGAAGCATCAGTTGTTGCAGTTTATCACTTTGGGTGTGCCGTTCTGTCGTGATGGACCGTCGAGTCTTGTTTAATTCGTTGGTATCCACCTCACTTGTTGCATTCTGAGCTATTATGTGCTTAGTGGGGGCTGCTGTGAGTATGACTTGAGTTCCATTGTTTGGTGGCAGCAAGCTCCTCAGGATTGGTCATTGCTATTCCTCCCAGTCTCGGTGGCAGTGTAAGGAGTGACCTTCCTGCTGGGGTAAATGAAAGAGTTTCACTAATGTTGGAATAAAAATGACGCTGATGGCTTCTTCCAGAGGACGGAGAAGGGGTCTGATATCAGGGATATCACGCATCAGGTAATTCCAATGATGCCTGACTTCATGGGTAGATGCCGCAACGTCGCATGTAGCTCCGTTTTAGCAAGATCAGACAGAGCTTAGATTTCCTTCACCCACTCATTTACCTTTCCCGTTACGTGCTCGGTCTTGAAGTATTTCGTACCGATTACCGCTCCTAGATGTCTTTGGCCGTTCTTTGTTATTTTTACCTTTCTTCCACCGAACACCTCCATAGCCCAGTCATTGTATTCAGGTTTCACATTGAGGAAGGACTTGCTGGCATTTGAGTGGTACCCTATATTTGGACCAAGTGAAGTTACCAGATCCCACCACTTTTTGATGTCCTCCACTTTTCCTGCTCTAGTAAAGTCAATAGCATATTCCACTTGCTTGACCTTGATTGTTTTAAATTATATTGTATTTTGGAACACTGATAGGCCTAGTGCGTACATTGCCATGGCGACAGGGTCCTCCTGTGTTGTTCCCTCAGTTGAATGTATGATGGTATCGCCTCTTAGGGCCTTGAAGCCTTTTCTACAGAAGTCTGATGGGTTCCTGTAGGTGCTTTCAACATACATTGCAAAGCTTTGACACTTGATCTTGATGTTGTACAGTGCAGCTTTGTGGTTGATTATGTTGAATGCGATGGAAGCGTCAGCCAGGAGAACGGCCGCACAATCTCACTGCTCAAATATCTTTCTCATGGAATGAATGGCAGCTTCACTACTTCTTTTATTAGTGTTAAATGGCTTTCAACTTCCCCTTATAGCCATATCTTCTTTACCATTCTATAACCTAACTAACCTGATATGAAAGTTTCTACCTTGGCGTCATTCGGTGACTGTTGGCCTCATAGTCTATGCCTGCAACTGTTTTTGGTTTAGGGGCCAAAGATCTTGTTCTTCCGAGACACAGCAGAGCAGACCTGACCATGGAAAAAGATAAGCCACACCTCAACCAGGTCACGATGTAACTTTTGGGATAATCCTTCTGTTCTCATCCCCGGCGACTAGAAAATAATTACCTTGTTATTTCATTCTCTTCCTCCTCCTCCTCCTCGCCTTCTTCCTCCGCGCCTTCCTCTTCCTTTACATCTTCTGATTCAACTTCTCTGTAGGAATAATGGTGTTGATGATAAAGTAATTAAATATAGTAGCTACGTATATTAATAATAGAAACAGGCTTACTACTGCTACTACTACTGATACCAATAATGATAGTAATAATAATAATAATGACAAGAAGAAGGAAAACAGCAACAGCCATAGCAAATTATAGCAGAGGTGTTAACTCCTCAATTATCAGAGGAGAGAGAGAGAGAGAGTTACCTCTTCTTCACTTCATGTTCCTCAGCCTCTGCGTCGTTGCTGCCGAAGAACGAGGATGCCTCAGTGGCACCCAAGACAGCCACCAACATCAACAATGCCACCGTTACTCTGACAAACAGATACAACCACCCGTGTTAGTTACCTTACAATCAGCTTGTGACATTGATGAAAAACTTGACACCTAACTGATGTACTCACCAAGGCAATAACAAAATAATTTACTTTAATATTCCTCGATACAGAAAGATGAAGATACAAATTATATATGAATAAATAATTACGCATAGCTTCTGGACCCCCAACGAAATAGCGATATATAGGAAGTTTTATTTTTTCTTAAGCTTTCGGGATACAATATAAAACTCTTAGCACCAAAAGGTAATTAAAAAAGTTATTTCAGTCTGTAGGTTTATGTTAAATTTCTTATGTCATCAATTGGTTTAAAACAAAATACACCAACGACGAAAAAAAAGAGGAATTAATTCATCCAAGCCACAGATGACATACACACACACACACACACCTGAACTATATATGTGTGTGATATTAGAAGGAACGGGCCACTGAGAATGTCACAAGAGGTAGTATGCAAGGATAGGTTGGGTTGGGTAGGATGGGTAGGATAGGTTTGGTTAGGTTAGGTAAAAATGGGTATATCCTGGTGAATTCAGCCATAGTTTAATTCATTAGTGCTGCCTCCCTCTCTGGCTGGTGTTCTCCCTGCCATTCTACTAAAGGAGGATGGGGAGGGGGGTTACTGAAGGAGGAGGGGGAGGAGGGTTACTGAAGGAGGAGGGTTACTGAGGAGGAGGTTACTGAGGAGGTTACTGAAGGAGGATGGGGAGGGTTACTGAGGAGGAGGAGGGTTTACTGAAGGAGGAGGAGGATGGGGAGGGGGTTTACTGAGGGAGGAGGGGGAGGGGGGGTAATATTCAGTACTAATAAATAAACTTCCTGGTACGAATGATTCTTTTTATACAGATACGGAAATGTACACAATGAAAATAGACAAACTTGATATACGTACACTAATACAGTAAACAAATGACTGGAAGATCTCGAGGGCTGTAAAGTAGTAATGACAGAAGAAGAATGGAAGAAGATTTAAAATGGTGAAGGAACATAAGAATGGAGGAAACTGCAGCGGGCCTATTGGCCCATACTGGGCAGTCCCGTTTACACCCAACCCCTATTGCTCATATGAGCATCCAACTTATGTTTGAAGCAATTCAGCGTATTTGCGTTAATGATGATATTTGGTAACTTGTTCCATTCATCCACTACTCTGTTTCCAAACCAGTGTTTACCTATTTCACGCCTAAATCTAAATTTGTCTAATTTAAAACCATTGTTACGAGTTCGCTCCTGGTTGGATAGTTTGAGTACCTTTGTAATGTCCCCTTTGTTTAGCCCTGCCTTCCACTTATACACCTCTATCAGGTCGCCCCTCGCTCTACGTCTCAAGGGAGTGCAAATTAAGATGCTTTAACCTGTCTCTATACTCAAGGTTCCTAATGCCCGGGATTAGTCTTGTCATTCTCGTCTGAATTCTTTCCAAGGATTCTATATCCATTCTGTAATACGGTGACCAGAACTGAACTGCCTAATTAGGGTGTGTCATAGGAGGGAAGATCAGCTAAAACTAATGGCCCATCACTTTTTTGGTAGATTTTAGTGTATATAAACAGAAAATAATTTCAGTTTAAATATTTTGCATCCTTTTGCTAGGTAAATTTTAGCGTGAAATTTATCAAAAATCTAACGTACAGCTGCATTAGTGCATTACAATTAAATAGTGAACATTGCTTTCTGACTTCATTCTTTAACAACCCAACTTACAATATTTTTTTCTGTTTCAGATTCTGATGCATTTATAAGTTGATAATATTTGCGATGGCTGCTTGTGTCAGGACGAGGAACCAAAAATCCAGCCATCTCAGTCACTATCTTGGGTCTGGGAGAGAGCTCCTGAAGTCGGAGTTGCCTACATTGAGAGATGCTTTGAGATACGGTGTTTTAATCAGGCAAATCAGTGAAAAGAACCAAAGAACTTACACAAACAAAGACATTGCCAGTGATATGACCAAAGCTGTCTTGGCACAGTACACTCTGGCTAACGCTCAGTTCAAGCCTCCAGTCATAACAAGTCAGAAGAAGATTAGTGAGAGACTGCTAGCCAGTTGGGAAAAGGCGAGAGATATCTCTCTTGGGAGAGGAAAACTTGCAGTTAAGGACAGCTTTGCCAAGTAACTGGACCAGTTATTTGACATAATTACTTGCAAGTGACTGTAAATCCGAGGCCCACATCTCCTGTATTTGCAAGCGTGAACTGAAGATTCCTGTGATCGAACTGGCATTTGTCAAAGCACAGAGAGAGAAGACTGGCAGTATAGGGGCTCTCATGATTTCTAGCCAAGATATTCCGGAGTCCAAGAGACAGGAGGCTGCCACAGAGAGACAGAAGAGGAGAAGAGTTGCGGAGGAAAAGAGATTTGAGAAGGCCCAGGGTGAGGTAAAAAAGGCCGATGATTGGAGTCAAGCTGATTCAGAGTTTAATGACTTCCCCATGGCTGATCCGAGTGCTGACCAGGAGAATGGTGACTTTGTCCCTAACCCAGAAAATAATGATCCCAAACCTTCCAGGCATAAGATTCGAAATAGGAAATATATCCCGAGCATAGCTATGGCCAGCATGCGACACCACACTGGTCTCAGAGAAACTGCAGAGATAGCAACAGCTGCCTGGATTGACGGTGGTTTGATAACACCTGATGATGTTCACCTGGTGATAAATCATAACAAAGTAAGGAGAGCTCAGGAGAAACTTGTCAGTAACCTAGAAGAGGAGTTTGATAAGGGGATAAGAGAAAATGGAATCAATTGTTTGTTCTTTGATGGGAGAAGGGATGACACTAAAGTGTCAGAAAGTTGGAGATTCTGACAAGTTGTTCCCTGCCATGGTGAAGGAAGAACACTACTCCTGCTGCAGTGAACCAGGAGGGAAGTATTTGTGGCATTTCACTCCAGAGAAAGATGACATCAGGAAACCAGCTGAGATAGTGGCAGATAACATTGTGAACTGGCTCAGAGAGAGAACGTAGACCAGACCCTGCAGGCCATTGGAGGGGACAGCACCAACACGAACACAGGGTGGCAAGGGGGGGTCATACAGTGGATAGAGCGGAAGATTGGGAGGAAGCTGGTCTGGATTGTTTGTGACCTCCACACCAACGAGTTGCCACGCAGACATCTGATCCAGGAGCTGGATGGCAAGACTCTTTCAAACAACAGATGGTCTGGTCCTCTTGGCAAGATGCTGGACTCTGCCACTGAGTTAGAAATAAATCCGAGCTTTGAAAAAATCACAGTTGGCCCTCCACTCGTTGAGCTTGCACATACTGTCATTGACGACCTGGGTACTGACCAGTACTATGGTTACATGATTTGCAGTGCCATCAAAACTGGGGTCATGCCTGATAGACTTGCTTACCTGCAGATAGGTCCAGTCTCACATTCTAAGTGGCTCACAACGGCTCTCAGGTTCTGCAGAATTTGGGTCTCTCATCATAAACTGAAAGGGAACCAGCTTCACAACCTGAGACTTATTGTCCAATTCATCGTGAGAGTCTACTTGCCAAATTGGTTTAACACCAAGGTCAAGTCATCGTTCTCCGAAGGTCCGAGGCATGTTCTCTTCCAGCTTGAGCTCCTGAGGAGTCAGCCAAGGAAGGTTGTTCAGATTGTGGAGCAGACTGTGAGGAGTCTTCTGAGGCCATGCTCATCCAAGGCAGTTCTGCAGACAATGCTCTGCAGTAAGGATGAGGAGGAGAGAAGAGTGGCAGTCAAAAAGATCTTGGATATGAGACTTATGAGAGGATCTGGGCATGACGAATCAGTTGGTGACGATTCCTTCAGGGTCAGGAAGACTCCTGAAGTCAATCTAGGTGCCAAGACCTTCACTGATCTCATAGATCTGGATAACATCCAGGCTGGCAGTGAGCCCCCTCTTACCTGCAGCCTCACCAATGTTCAAGTCAGAGCTTTTCTGGACAACCCCATGCATGTCCCTGCCTGGCCCTCGCACACCCAGAGTATAGAGCGTTGTGTACAGCAAGTGAGCGAGGCCAGCAGTCATGTGTACAGCCAGGAGAGGAGGGAAGGCTACATCCGAGCTCAGGTGGTCAGCAGGGAGGTGATGAGTAAAAACAGAAGCAAGAAAGACATGTTCTCTATGGTGTGCAGCAACACCGGGTCGTAGTAGTAAAACCGGTTTTTGTATTTGATGATTTTGTTTTCTAAAGGAATAATAAATTTAATAAATGTGTCAAGATCATTCGTTTCACTATTCTGGATCATTTTCATCCTAATAAATTAACCTGATACATTTACTTTACTTTAAATAAGCTATTTAGTGGTGTTGGTAAAAGGTGGGAATACTGACCTGAAGATATCACATGATTCTGCACATAGAACCATCACCTCATTAATTCCATGGGCCGATTTTTCAAACTCAAAAAAAAATCGCCTCCGCGACACACCCTACTGCTTCCAATCCAGGTGTGGTCTCACAAGAGCAAGATACAGTTTTAGGATGACCTCGCTAGTCTTGTAACTAACACTCGTTTGTATGAACCCAAGTACTTTATTAGCCTTGTTACGAGCAAAAACACATTGTTTACTTGGCTTAAGGTTCCTACTTATCATTACTCCTAAATCTCTCTCGCAGTCGGATTTCTCTATGGCATCGTTGTTCATCTGGCATCTGGTTTCCCTGTTTACATCTCCTATACTGAGTACTTTACATTTGTCGACGTTGAATTTCATCTGCCATTTTTCAGACCATTCGAAAATTTGTTTAGATCTTCCTGTAGTTTTGCCGAGTCCTCGTCAGATTTGATAACACGTCCTATTTTAGTGTCATCAGCAAATTTACTTATGTTGCTGTCTATGCCGATATCTATGTCGTTTATGTATATAATAAATAATAATGGTCCAAGTACTGAGCCTTGGGAACTCCACTTGTGACGTTGCTCCAATGGGACTTAGTGCCGTTAACTTTCACTCGCTGTTTCTTGTCCTGTAACCACGCCCTAATCCATTTAAGGATGTACCTGATGCCATGAGCTTCTACCTTTCTAATTAGTCTTTCGTGGGGACTCTGTCCGGAGGCTTCTATAAAGTCGAGATATACCACATCATAATTGTGCCCCTCGTCCACCGATTCGAAAACTGATGAAAAGAATGTTAATAGATTAGTTAGGCAAGAACGTCCGCTTGAAGCCATGCTGGGAATCATTGATCAATCGGTGCTTCTCCAGGTGATTTCGAATAGAGTTTGAAATGATTGCTTCCAGTAATTTGCCTACTATTGATGTTAGACTGATTGGGCGGTAGTTAGAGATAGTGATCTATCCTTCTTGAAAATCGGTATTACATTCGCTATCCTCCAGGATTCTGGTACTACACCTGTTTTTAAGGACATGTTAAACAACTTTGCTAAGGGCATACTAAGCTCTTCCTTACATTCCTTTAATACTCTGGCAAATATCTCATCGGGACCAGGTGACTTATTAGGCTTTAGTTTGTCTATTTGCTTACTAACATCGTTACTAGTCACTACTATCTCACTTAATTTGTTTTCTTCACTATCTCTGAATAGAGTCGGTGCCTCGGGTATCATGTTTAAATTTTCGGTGGTGAAAACTGTTGAAAAATATTTATTCAAATTATTGCTCATTTCTCCGTCGCTATCAGTGAGCTCGCCAAGTCTGACCGTATTGGTCCAATCTTTTCTCGTGTTTTAGTTTGATACATTTGGTAGAATCCTTTGGGGTTTGTCTTCGCCTCCCTTGCTATCCTTACCTCATTATTCCTCTTTGCTTTCCTTATCTCGGTTTAACCCTACTCGCCAATACCCTATAATAGTCCCGGAGGTGAATTTCGCCACGATTTATCCTTCTACCTATAGCCTTCCTTTGGCCAATGATGTTCTTTAAATAATTATTTATCCATTTAGGGTCATTGTTGTCTGATCTGAGTTTTTTGTATGGTATGTTCTGCCTTTGTGCATTAAGTAACTCACTATTTAAATTGTCGTGGAACTCGGCAATCTCAGATCTCGTTATCAGGTCTGTGTCATCTGTCAGGTTCACAGCCAAGCGCGACACCCCCTCTCTCAGCTGCTTCTTTAAACTGTCAAAGTTTGCCCTTCTGAAATCTGGTACTTTAGTGGAATTTTCCTTACGTCTGCCCTGAAAATCTAACTGGAATCGAATTTCTTTGTGATCGCTGTTTGCAAGTTCGTTCCCTACCTCGACATTGCTAATTAGGTTTTCTCTGTTCGACAGAACTAAGTCCAGTATATTATTATACTGGTACTGGTATGGGGAATATAGGAGGGAAGATGTGTTGTCATGAGATTTTGTTTAATGTCAGGAAGTGTGGAATCGTGTGGGGACAGATATGTACAGGAGATTATCACTCGGGTGTTATTTTTTTCTAACATCCCTTCACTATATTAAGTAAATTTCCGATGTTTGTGCACGATGTAACTAGCGCCTTACATTTTGACAAACTCACCTCATGTTGTCGAAGCAGCGGGAGGTGACTAGTTAAAATAGCAGGTGAAGACGGTAGATCAGTTGTTGTTTCTGATACAGGAAGTGTGTGTGTAAATGTGTGGTGTGGGAGATACTTATATGTGAGGTCGCTACCACCACTACCACCACCCTCCTCCTCCTCCCCCTCTTCCTCCTCCTCCAGCTGTTTCGCCTCCAACACAATGTCGCTGACGTGGCCACAATTGGCGTGGCTCCCGGGATGATACTCATTTATCTACTCTAACGTGTAATTCCCAGGTAATTTTGGAGTGTCGAAAGTTTTTAAGGTTCATATTGGAGGTTCCATCTAGGCTGTAGAACGCAGAAGTAGATTGATTATACAAAAGATAAGTGACAATAGTTGTGAATGCTTGTGACGTGTGGCGCTGGTTGACGGCACAGTCAGGTGTTCTCCCCACCCCCACCTATTTCGTCCCCACACCTGTGCCAAGTGTTGTTACACAAGCTACCCCGGGGGAAGACCTCGTTATGGCCCACCAACACTAGCTATACTTGTCCTATGTGTCGTCTCCGAGGGCGATAACACAAGCGGAATTAAAACGCCTTGTAGGGAAGATTATCACAACCATAACACTTAAAACGCCAGACTCGGGTGCTGATGATGTGTCGACGGTGGGCTCAGGAAAACTACTTCGTGCTAACGAATTGGGATCTGGGAAGAGGAGGAGGGGGGACAAAAACGGGGGAAGGAGTTCGAGGGATAAGATGGGGGAGGGGGGAGAAAGAGAGGACTGGGTCACTTACATGTGCCAGTATTTCTCCGTGACCTTCCTTGAGTCCGGCTTATTTTAATCCTCTGGTCACCACAACCGCTATTTTCACACTTCTGAATTACTCTTTATTTAACCATAAATATTTCACGACATAAACTGTATAAATGAATGAAAATGTTAACATACGTGAACGTCTTGATAATTAAAGCTTTTTGAGAAGACACTTGATGTGTACTGTACCGTTAAAGTCAAATATGGAAATAACAGTAAATTAAGGTTAGACGAATTAGTATATGGATACTTATATGTTATATCTGGTGAATATTACTACACACGAAGTACATATCATAAAATTATGTACTGTAAACAAATGATATAATCCGGTAAATATGAGTACAGTACGTATAGAAAGTACATTCTACATGTTTTATGAACTATGCATTATTATTTCAAAATACTGAGCCGATATATGAATCGCAGTACAGACTAGTCTGTACTCACCCCTGAAGATGTGAATTACACGAAAGTGCTTGGGAACTTCGTGTTTTCTTCTTTCCTTGTGGTTATCAGCACATATATATATATATATATATATATATATATATATATATATATATATATATATATATATATATATATTTCATTAGCCCAATAAAGCACACGGACTTCTACATACAATCAACCTGCCAGGATTCGAACTCACGGCCCACGAGCCCATGACTGTGACCGGGAAATGCTACCTACTGGACCACCAGGATACTAAAAGCAGTCCTAGACTCTGTTATATTTCACACAAAGCCTGTTCAACGAGCTTATGGCGCCGTGAACCTCTAATGTGTTGATTGTATGTAGAAGTCCGCGTGCTTTATTGGGCTAATGAAATATATATGGATCCTCGTGTTTCGAAGCCGGATTTGGTAAAACGTTACTCTGACCACCTAAGTGTGTTGCAGTTGTTGTTTCCAGAGTTCAGTTTCTCCCGACCTTTTCTGCCTCCGGGTTACGCGTGAATAGTTGTCATGCCACGGAATCAAGAGGCCTTTAGGAGGGGGGGGGTGTATTATACGCTAAGGGTGAAATGAGAGAGGGCTTATTAATGGCTCGTGTGATAAAAGGGACAGAAAGTTTGAGGTGATTTAAAATCTTGTGTTTGAGGGGGGGGAGGGTATTGACCGTGATCATTATTGATGGCTTTGTTACTTGTCTCTACGGGCGAGTGTGGATGACTGAGAGGTAAGATAATCTGGAGTGCCGTAGGCCGTAAACAGTGTTATCTAGTTTTAGGTTATGTCTGAGGGGTTCGTGATTCATGGCGGGAGTTGGGTGTTGGATTTGTTTATGATAATACATGTGTTGTTATGTGTTGTTTGTACCTGTACTGTGAGTTTTGTGTGCAGGGAGGTGGTAGTTATTTTTTTTTTTTTTTTCCAGGGTTGGTACTGGGAATACTCTATAATACTTGTCATGCTGAGGGGAACCTGTATGGGAATTTTTATATTTTCTACCTGAATTTAAAAGGTGTTTATGGAGTTTTAGACAGTCTGTAGCGAGTCCATTAGCTATACATCGTGTTTATTATTTATTCATTTTTTTTAATGTGTGTGTATTCGAATGTGGAGTTTGTTGTATTCCTTCGGCGGATGATTCCTCTCGTTGGTCAGCTGTAGTGCTTGTGGGGACTTTGAATGGTAACGGATGACTCCCTTGTTGATATCTTTTGTGAGGTGGGTGAGAAAGCCGGGTGTGAAGGACAGTCAGGTTGTGGCGGCTCATGAAGTGTCGGAAGTTGGGTGCTTGGGCTTCACGTGTGTATTTATAAGCTTGGGTTGTTTGTGTGTGTGTGTGTGTGTGCATTGTAGTGTATATATATGTACGCGTTTGTTGCATATGCCTTGCAGGTGATTGTGTATGAGTGTCTCGTTGCATGTGTGTAAGTATTTGTGTGTGTGTTTGTGTAAGTCTATAAGTATAATACACAAAGCGTTGAAAGGATTGCATTAAAACACACACAAAATTTCGTTACATATGTATTTCTTAATCCGAATATGAAATGCCAATTAATTTTTTTATGCTTATTTATAGTGCTTACTAAGTAACAGTTCTCATTAGGGTGCATGTGTATGGTTAAGTAAGGTTAGATTAATTTGGGTTAGATTATGTTAAGGTAGGGTAGGTTAAGTTAGATTTGGTTCAGTTTGGATGGAACAAATTCGGTGAGGTTAATTTTAAAATAGTAATGGAAAATTTAAATTCCTGTTCATCATAACTAAAGATAACTTTCAAGGTTTAATATTCCTTCTCGCTTTTCCTTTTTATTCTCTTATCTTCTCTCCTGTCTTACTGCCACACATCATCCTTCCACTCTGTTCATCCATTGTTTTTCATCTTTCTTCAGTGAATTTATTTTGTTCTTTGCTCTATTATTTTCTCCATATTCTCGAGGTTTTTTCATTGCTATCTTCGTGGCTTTAATCCCTTTCGTTATCCGTCTCTTCCGTTGTTCTTCATCATCATCTATCCTTCTTTAAGCAGCCCTTTAAAATACGACAAATAAAAAAAATGAATTATGGGAAAAATGTTAATTGAATTGAAAATTACAAAATACATAAATATCTGAGAAAATACAACTGTGAAATAAGAAATAGGTGTATGTACAGTATATATATAGCGTGAAGTGGGTGTACGTATGACGAGAAGTGGGTGTATGTATGTATAACGAGAAGTGGGTGTATGTATGTATAGCGAGAATTTGGTGTATGTATATATAACGAGAAGTGGGTGTATGAATAACGAGAAGTGGGTGTATGTATGATGAGAAGTGGGTGTACGGTATGTATAACGAGAAGTGGGTGTATGAATAACGAGAAGTGGGTGTATGTATGATGAGAAGTGGGTGTACGGTATGTATAACGAGAAGTGGGTGTATGAATAACGAGAAATGGGTGTATGTATAACGAGAAGTGGGTGTATGTATAATGAGAAATGGTTGTATTTGCAAGAAGAAGTAAGTGTATGAGCCAGATGTAAAGAAGAAATGCAGGGAACTTGTCGGTAATAGTGACATACTGTACTGCCATAGTGAACATGATCGATTATAAAGACGGGAGAGTAAAAAAAAAGAAAGATGGATGGCATTAGATCATATTATGACTATCGTTAGGTTAGGTTATGGAAAGTATGGTTAAGTGTGGAAGGCTAAGTTAATACACACACACACACACACACACATACACACACACACACACACACACACACATGTACACACAAGTGTACACATACACAAACACACTCCAATTTACACACACACACACTCACACAAACACATACACACAATTTATACAATTTTTAACCTTAAATAAACAAGGTGTTTAATATTTTTATTTTTGGAAATGTTGAGAGAGACTGAGGCACTTACCGCTTAACCACTTCAACAGAGTCACTGTTAGAATCACTCTCTGAGCTATCGTCAGCATTTAACCCAAGGTCGATGTGTCTGGTGGGACAATAAGTAAATTTATGCTCTTCATGTTTAAATAATAATACGAATATTGAGTTATTTTACCATGTATATATATATATATATATATATATATATATATATATATATATATATATATATATATATATATATATATATATATATATATATATATATATATATATATATATATATATATATATATATGCTGACAACCACAAGGAAAGAAGAAAACACGAAGTTCCCAAGTGCTTTCGTGAGTCTGTACTCACCCCTGAAGATGTGAATTGCAGGATAGCGCTTAGGAACTTCGTGTTTACTTCTCTCCTTATGGTTATCAGCATATATCTGGATCACGCGCTCCTACAGTGAGTTACTTATATATATATATATATATATATATATATATATATATATATATATATATAGATAGATAGATAGATAGATAGATAGATAGATAGATAGATAGATAGATAGATAGATAGATAGATAGATAGATAGATAGATAGATAGATAGATAGATAGATAGATAGATAGATAGATAGATAGATAGATAGATAGATTACTCGAGGGTTAGGTTAGTTTAGGTTACGTTAGATTTGTTTAGTTTGGTTTCGTTAGTTTAGGTTAGTTCAGTTTAAGTTAGATTTATGTTAAGTTACTTATGATTCGTTAGGTTAAGTCTAATTTAGTTTAGGTCAAGTTAGTTTACGTTTTGTTAGGTTTGTTTAGGTTAGGTTAGATTAATTTAGGTTAACTCATGTTAATTTTGTTGGTGCATATGTAATACTTGCCAGAAAAATTACCTCCTATTTCTGACCTGATTCCTAAACATATTGCGTACATGAGTTTTTTGTTTTGTATCAAGTGATGATAAAACAGCCAGGGAGGAAC